AGAGTCCTGTAAATTCCGCCATCCTGGGCCTACATATAGAGTTGCTGATCGGGATGTTCAGATCTAAGAGGGGAGCAGTGTTACGAACATGCTTTCGGCATGTCACATGTATCGGTTGCATCTCGGTCACGTGCGCAAATTAGAGATGGAAACTTTCTAGAACATTATAATTTATATATATAATATATATATATTATATATATATAAGTAACGATGATTGAGGAAGTTTAGTTGATAAGAGAATACCGAACTGTAAAGTTATAAATAAATATATTTATATAAATTCGAACCGCTCGTTTTATTTAAAAACGGTACAATAGAATAGTTATTTGTGAGAGCAAAGTATGTATATTAAGCGGTCTACTATTTTGTTTCTATGACATATGCCGAACTTTCCCAGTAAATTCTTTAGGTCCTTATCCTGTATAGTGAGGCCGACTTTTGCATTTTATACACCTCATACTAAGGTTAGCTCTCTTTATTTGGAGTGTTATTAAATGTTGTTTCCAATTTGTTGTAGAATTTCTCGATTTTTAGTCGTCTGCTATGCTGGTTAGCCCATAAACTTGTATTATATTAAGTTTATGTGATTTGACTTTCAGTTTAAGAATAACTATTCTATCGCTGATCTGAACGCCAAGGTAGGTCAGAGTAAAGTTGGAGAAAGAAAAAAAGAAGAAGAAATAGACACCAGCCTCAGTATAGCAGAAAGTCAAATCCGCAGAATAGACAACATAGATGAAAAACTTAAGTATATAAACACTACAATAAGAACTACGGGAAATAAACACCTAATCAGATCTGCAAAGAAACACAAGGTATGGATGATACCAGACATACTAGAACTAATGGATGAAAGACGTAAAATGTACAAAAATACAGTGAGATTGATAAGAACATAAAGCAAATAATAAAGAAGGCCAAAGAATTATGGATTGAAGAACAATGTGTAGATATGAAAAACTATGAAAGAAAATATGACACATTCAATGTACATAAAAAAGTAAAAGAAATTACAGGAAATCAAAGAAGACATCAAATAAGTTTTACGGAAAGATTATTATAGATTTAACAGAGAAAATTAATAGATGGAGTGAATACATAAGATAATTGTTTGAGAACAACAGAAATAACATTGTTTAGGTAAGAGACTATAAGCTAAGAGACATTCTTGAAAGAAAGGACAGAGATAAAAAAGATCTGCGAATACTTCTCAATGTATATTGGAATCAGAAAGCTAACATCAAAATAGAAAATAAGATATCACAAGCAATAAAAATACATAGAGGAGTACGACAGGGATGCATTTTGTCACCGCTGCTATTTAATGTTTATAGTGAAATAATCTGCCAGGAAACCCTTTTACTGTAACTACTAGTAACTATTATACTAGTTGCAAGAACAGTAGAAGAATTACAACGATTACTTACAAATATAAATATTGCCTGCAACAATTATGGCATAAATATCTATATAAAAAAAATGAAGTATTGTCTTCTGTAAAAACATGACATAACCAGTACATATTAGTATAAACAGCATTCAAATTGAAAAAGTATAAAGTTACAAATACTTAAGGACTTTAATAATAAACGAAACTGGAGACCAAAACAATGAAATAAAAAGGCGTATCGAAATTGCCAGGGCCACCGTCATAAAGATGAGGAAATTCTTTTGCAACAGAGATATAAGCATCCCTCTACGATTAAGAATGCTAAAGGGCTACGTATTTAGCCTGGATTCTTAAATAGAAAAGTTGTCTTGAAAAGTTGAAAACTGTTGTTGTAAAAGATTCAGAAATGTTGTCAACGATCAAACGAAGAAAACTCGAATATTTGGGTCACCTGATGAGAGGACATAAATACGCATTACTTCAAAATATAATACAAGGAAAAATAGAAGGAAAACGGAATCCAGGCCGTAGAAGAATGCCATGGTTGCGTAATTTGAGAGAGTGGTTTGGCTGCACCACTAATGAACACTTTAAGTCAGCTGTAAACAAGGTCAGGATAGCCTTGATGATTTCCAATCTCCGATAGGACAAGAAGAAGAAGAATTTTATCGCTCACGGTTTTGAATTTAACGACAGATTGTTGTGATCTTGGTCAGATCAGAATGGGAACACCTGTATAAATAGTTCTAGGTTTCATCGTCAGAGAAGTAAACATAATTGCCATTATGTGTTCTAAAATGGCCCTTTCCTAACCAATGAGTTTCAACTAGTCTAAAGATTTCAATGTTATATCTTGACAGCTCTCTTTCAATAATTGGCATCTTACCTGTGATTGTCTTTAACCCTTGTACGTTCCACAAGTTTTAATTTTTGTGGACCAATAGCTGAATTTCCACATGATGTTTGATCACTTGTCAGCATTCTTGTGACCGCTTCCAATTTCGTACTCTTTGACCGTGACTCAAGGTAGTGCCGGTGTGTCACTCGAACTGCGTGACAACATCCAAGGCATGATCTTATACATCACGCATATCATTCTTAAGAATGGTAATGCAATAGATTCTCTTATTTTAGGAGAATTAATTTATTTATGAATCGCAATATCACAAATATTGTGTTGATACAGCTCAGCTTGTAAAAATCCAAAAATAAATCCAAGATAATTTCCTATGGGTAAGGAAGGATTCGATGGTGTACAGGATTGGGACATGTTTTCTCCTTGGCGTAGGAAATAAATAGTAGCTGGTGTAGACGCAGTCGTTGATTGAATAATCCAAATTGGATTATTCAATCAACGACGCAGTGTTGCCAAGCTCTGAAGTAGTCTGTCATTCGCTGAGAACTGTAAAAGAGTACTACTCGCTACCCCAAATGGGGTTATCGTATACTTGGACATATTTAATTAGATTAAGTCGGAGTTTTTAAGTCTGTATGTCACAATGGATGAAAAATGTATCCATCACTTCACTCCGAAATCAAATTGACTGTAATCTTAGTGGACAGCACACAGAGAAAGCAGTCCAAAGCGACCAAAGACACAACCGGAAAGGTTTTGGCCTGTGTATTTTGGAACCCGCAACGAATTATTTTTATTGGCTATTTGAAACATAAAAATACAATTCACAGCGACTATTACATTATTTATTTATTGGAGCGTTTAAAGGCCGAAATAGAAAAGAAAAAGCCTTACTTGTTGAAAAAAATTGTTGTTTCACAAAGGTAATGCACCATGCCAAGTCGATGGAAACGATGGCAAAAATGTACGAATTGGGCTTTAATTTGCTTTTCCTCTTCCAGCGTATAGTTCACATATTTTTTCCGATCTACAGAAATACTCCGTGGTAAAAGATATTGCTTCGATGCAGAAGTAATTTCTGAAACTGAAACCTATTTTGAAGGCAAAAATAAACCTTTTTGCAAAGGCGGTATTAAAAAATTGGCAGAAAAGCGTTGGAATAATTGTATCGCCTCTAAAGGACATTATTTTGATGAATAAAGAATAATTTTTGCAAAAAATATTGTTTTATTTTTTAATATGGGGGTTATTGTCCATAAAAGATTTTAAATATGTACATCTTCTTCTTCTTCTCGTGCCACTCCTAGCGGAAATTGGAAATCATCATGGCCACTGCGACTTTGTTAGCAGCGCGCCTAAAAAGTTCAATCGAACTACACCCGAACCATTCACGTAGATTACGAAGCCACGATATTTTTCTTCTTCCCACACTTCTTTTGTCCTTAATTTTGCCCTGCATGATGTTTCTTAAAAGTTCGTACTTTTCACCTCTCACAATGGGCCCCAAGTATTACATCTTTCTAGTTTTTATCTCATTTAAAATTTGCATCTTTTGTCTAAAGTTTGGAGTACTTGCGTGTTAGTGACGCGGTCTATCCATGATATTCTGAGAATGCGCCTATAGCACCACATCTCGAAAGCTTCGATGTTTTTTATGGTCAACTGTTTTAGTGTCCAAGCCTCAACTCCATATAACAGGGTAGAAAAGACATAACACCGCAGCATTGGTATTCGTAACTTTATATTGATATCACGATTGCAAAACAGTTTGCGCATTCTATTAAAGACTGATCTAGCGATTTCTATTCTACATCTAATCTCTTTTGTTTGATCAGTATTGTCTGTGATCCAAGCACCTAGATATTTATAACAGGGCACACGCTCAATCGTTGTATTGTCTATTACAAGATTAGCTCTGATGTTCTTTGATTTCGTGATTACCATAAATTTAGTTTTTTTTCAAATTAATTTTCAAGCCGTAACTGTTACAGTATATATTAAGACTTTGAACGAGATGTTGTAGTTCTACTAGCGTTCCCGTTAGGAGAACTGTATCGTCAGCATACCTTATATTGTTGATCGTCTCACCATTTATTATCAGACCAAGATCTTCTTCCTCGAGTGCTTGTTCACAGACAGCTTCACTATACAGATTAAATAAAAGTGGCAATAAGATACATCTCTGCCGGACTCCTCGACGGATTTGAATTTCTTCTGTTAGTCTGCCCCCAACCTTGACATTTGCTGTTTGATTCCAATATAGATTGCATATAATTCGAATATCTCGGCTGTCTATATTTTTATAAAGCAGGCGTAAATTTCTTGGTTCATGTCTAAGCATCTCTGTGAGAGAACGTTCATTGCAAACAGAGCCTCCCTTGTACCCAGCCCTTTTCTGAATCCCATCTGAGTGTTACTGATGTCTTCGTCTAATTTCCTATAGATCCTATTATGGATTATTTTTAAGAACAGTTTTAGACCATGACTCATCAAAGCTATCGTACGATATTCGTTGCATTCCTTTGTATTTGCCTTTTTTGGCAGTAGTATAAAGGTCGAACGGAGCCATTCCCTAGGTATTATTCCAGTTCTATATATCGTGTTAAATAGATCTAGGAGTATTTTAATAGATTCATCGTCCATAAGTTTGACCAGTTCTACGGGAATTTCATCAGGACCGGGGGCCTTACCACTTTTTGCTTGTTTGATTGAAAATATGTACATAGGGAAATTAAATTAAAGTCATAACATATAAGTCATATGTTATATTATATACTTTATAAAAGTTTTTATTAAAGCAATCTTAAATTTATTAAGCTATAAAAGTATAGATAGTTTTGATGTAGCGTTTTTAAAAAAGTTCTAAATTGATTACGGTATAAAAATAAATTTCTTGTCAACGTTAATAATAATGCTGTAATAATAATTTAGCAGCATATTGTAGCTATATTTGGATTTGTTTTATGTTGTTCTGAAGAAGTGCTCAAGAACTCTGTAATTATATCGTACAGTTTCAATCACTAAACAGGTATATCTTGGAATAATTAAATCTTTAGAAATACTGACACAACTATTATAAAAGTTAAAAATAATACTGAATAATACGTTTGTATTAAAAATAGTAACATATAATCTACTTTTGATTTAAAAATTATTACTTAAAAATTTCCAACAGTTTTTACCACTTTTTTTATTTTATATTAAAAGCTGTTGAAATAATTTAAACATGAAAATGAAAAAAACTGCAATTCAAAGATAATTTTTAAATACATTTAAAATATTCATACTCAATATTTTTTTTATTCTGCTAACTCAGAATTCTAGAGCGCTCTCATACCGAAAACCCAAATAAGTACTTATTGTATCATGAATATAATCTAAGACCTTGTTTTACTCTTCTTCAGACACGACTTGCACTTTAGCTGTTCCGGTGATGTCAAGCAATTCTCTTGAAGTGAAAGTGGCAACCAATTTCTGTTCTCCTTCGTATTTTGGAACGATGCTGGTTTCGATTCTGATCACGGTACCAGGTTTAACATCAGGGACACCAATGACTTGGTTTTTAAGAAGCGATGCTCCGGAAATGTGGAATTTACCGTTGGTCAGAGCTTTCTTCAATGGATTGACGAATTTCAGACCTATTGTTGTCGGTTGTTTGTTGACAATAGTATGAGGTACCTGAAAGATTATGAAAAAAAATATTATAACTAAAAATAAGCCATCGCAGTATAAAAACATCTATAAACTTAAGTGAATATAATCATTTTAAACAGAAATCAATGAAACTCCTATCTTATTATAATCATAGAGTTAATTAGGTGAGAACAATTACGTGGCCATTATTTTATTACAATATTAATACTATCCTCCTCATTTATTCAACTCTTGTCAGAGCGTGATGACACTCTAAATATTTTTAGCTTACTATCTCCATTGGCAGCGATCCTTTGTTATAAAGACGGCTTCATGTAGATATTTTTCCACCAAAGTATTGATTTGGTCTGACAATCATGTTGGAGATCTTCCTCTTGGTCTTTCTCCTGGTCTTCGTTCTTCTGGTCTTGATCTTCGGCGTTCTATCTTTGCTTCTGCTACCAATAGTTTCATAGTACCCGTTTTTAGGAATATGTGGTCCAAGTAATTTTGGTAATATGTTCGGTTTACTTTTTTAATAGCTTGATCCTATTCGTCTAGTACTTTCCTTATTATAAAGTAAACGGCTAAATTATGGAATATTATCATTATTTCGAGAACCGTCGAGTTTTGGGAGAAATCACGAAACAGGTCGATTTTTGTTATAAAATACCCATCTTATAACGTACATGGAGTAGGGATGACGTCACCGGTGTGGGTGCAGTGACATAATCGTTAATTTTTTTAAATAGAAATCGGTATAATGTGACACCTCATTTAAAGGAGAATTTAATTCTCTATTTAACGACATTAAATTTTTAACTAAAATATTTTTTAAGGGTACAAAAACAATTGTTTTTAACTTAAATTCAACTAAATTACAACTAATGATTTAATTAATAATGTACTTTAAAGTATCCAAATTAGGCATAATAATTATTTTAAATTAAATGTTCGAAATGCCATCCATCGGTTTCTTGATCCTATGTGAATCTACGGACACATTCATCAATTACATCGCGGATGACTTCTGGAGTAATTAGACTCATTTCATGCCTAATTATATCTTTCAAGTCCTGTAAGTTTTGGGGTCTATTGATATAAACTTTAGATTTTATGTAACCCCACAGGAAAAAGTCTAGAGGTTTTAGATCTGGCGACCTTGCTGGCCACTCTATAAAACCTCGTCTTCCGATCCACCTCCTAGGAAATCAATGATTCAAAAATTGACGTACTTCACGTGCGTAATGCGAAGGGGCTCCACCTTGTTAAAACCAGATATTTTCACTAGATAAATTTGGATTATTGGCATTTGGATACATGTTAGCAAGTACAGATATAAGTTTATTTCTCAAAAAAAGGTAAATAACGTTCTCGTGTTAGATTTTCTTCAAAGAAAAAAGGGCCAATGATTCTGTCATTAATGATCTCTGCCCATACATTTACTTTCTGAGGATATTGCGTGTGTGACTCAGTCATCCAATGTGGGTTTTCTTGACTCCAATATCTGCAATTTTGACGATTCACGGCTTCATCGGAAAAAAGGATTTAATTGATGAAATGTGGATAGCGGATACATAAATCCTGCATAATTTCAGAAAATTGAAGCCGATGATCGGGATCGTAGTCGTTTAATTCCTGATGTAGTTGAATTGTGTAGGGATGGCATTTTTCTTTTTTTTTTAATACCTAAGAATGATCGTTGGGAAACTGACAACTGATGACAATTCACAAAATCAAAACATTTACTTCAATAATTATTACAGTAACTATGCCACTATCACTTGCTTGAATTAAAAAGTTTTAGTGTTTATGAGCTAGCTTTTTGTGTACATTATTATTTTTACTTATTTTTGCTTTTTTAAGTATTTACTTCAGAAAGTCATGGCAGGAACCGATGAATGGTATTTCGAACATTTAATTTAAAATAATTGTTATGCATAATTTGGTTACTTTACAGTACATTATTAATTAAATCGTTAGTTGTAATTTAGTTCAATTTAAACTAGAAAAAAATTGTTTTTGTACCCTAAAAACATATTTTAGTTAAAAATGTAATGCTGTTAAATAAAGAATTAAATTCTCCTTCAAATGACATGTCGCATTATACCGATTTCTATTTAAATAAATTAACGATTTGTAATAAAGTGGCATCAATAAAATTGGAGAACCGATTATAATATTCGCGGGAACCCTACTGTTACCATTCTAAATAAATGCCGCTGCCATCATTTTAAAAGACGCCTGTTTTCAAATCCTTGGATGCGCCTACAATTCTCAGGGGATACTTATCCTTGCGAGCGGAGAAATGCATAAGCGAAAAATGTGTACTCTTCTAGTCTCTGCCTGTAACAGCCGGAAAGGAACAATAAAACCAAATTTCGAGTTTACACTGTATTAAATAGACTCTATACTACAATTCAGATAACAAGATATCAGTTATAACCAATAATGATTCGATCAGGCGCGAAGGGACACGAGAAGAGACCTTAGCAAGAAATTAAAGGGTAGACAATCTAAGTTTATTTTATATTCCTTGGGTTAGTATATAGATTTAGTTATCTTTGCGTATTTAGGCCCTAGCTAATGAATACACCCTTTAGTCGTACTGGAATTGAGGATCGGTTTGTTGAGGTACCGCGCGCTATCACGAATTTTCAAAACACCAGATACCGGCACTTATATGGTACTCTACCCCGTCGAATTACAATGGCGCGCTCACTGGGCTGCGTATGCCCCAATCGCCCTTGCTTCTAGCGTCGAGCACTCTCAGGTGCCTCGTTCTTACTGACTCCCCTGGCCCCTTCGTTCGTTTTTTATGAGCCCGTATTCTCAATTACTGATCGCAGTACCAAGGTCGAGTTTTTGCTGACTGAGTCCTCGTGCTTAAACCGGGTCAGGCGGTGGTGTTATTTTTCCAAAGAAGGTCTATGTTTTAAACGTGATTTTTTTCTGGCGCCGCGATTTAAACCGTGGCGACCTGGTGACGTCACACTGGTGACGTCATCCCTACTCCATGTACGTTATAAGATGGGTATTTTAAAACAAAAATCGACCTATTTCTGGATTTTCCTTCAAAACTCGACGGTTCTCGAAATAATGATAATATTCTATAATTTAGCCGTTCACTGTATATTCAAAATTTATGTTATATAATAGTGGTGATAGTATGCAACCCAGTCTAGTTCCTTTTTTTTTTTTTGAACGTATTTAAATATATTCCGTGTACTTGAACTCTGACTGAGTTTTTGTCATATAGATTTCTTATTAGGTTAACTAGGTGGTAAGGTAAGGTAAGGTAAGGTATTCCCATATTTCCCATTATAATTTAGAAGGGATCCCATTTTAATGAAACTAAAGTCTTTGTGTCATCTACGAAACAGAGCAGCATTGGTATATTGTGTTCCTTCGCTTTTCTATTATCTATTTGGTGTCTGCCTGGATGTAAATAGGGTCCTTTGAGTTACAAGGTTTCTTAGTGGTCGTAGTATGTCTCTGTTTTTTTTGCTTGGGTTCCGAGCTTTGGATCTGGAGTACTTTTATTAAAATTAGCACACGATTTACGCCAGATATATTTAGTTTTATCTTTGAGATACTTCGTAACTCCGGCTATAACTTCTTTGCACATTAAGTAATTGTTCAGAGTACAGAAACTAAATCACAACCTTTGAAGTATGGTGTTTTAATATTGTTAAAGTTACTAACACAAATATTTACACAGAATCGACCGAGCCCAAAATCTTGTCTGGACAGTTAGTGTCATATGAACAAAAGTAAAATTTTGATCATGCGATGAGTAACGACAAGTGCCAACATTTTCAGGTTATAATGCAAGGTAAACTAAAAGCAAGCTAAGAATACGTGGAGGATAAATCTCGTGGCTGAAAAATATAATGCGGCAATAAACTTGTAACGTAATTAGGACTGTTTAGAGTTGCTACATATTATCTATTTCGAAGAAAATCTAGAAATTTATTTCAATTGTCCGGAAATGTTTTAAATTAAAATTTCTATTTGCACAGTTGTACAACGTTATTCGGGCAAGGATTATATATAAAAATATATTGTAAAAACAAATCCAGATTTAAAGGTTCAAACGTCAGGTTATATGTAAATTGATAATTTATTCTCAACGAAATATTTGATGGAAGATAAAGTAACATAACGAAACACGTTCAGGTATATAAAAAGACTAACCTTAATGTCAATATTTGGTCTAACAACTTGGAAATCATCTTCATCAGCCCAAGTTTGGTTTGTCTCTGAAACCGAAGCAATGGCGTAAATCTTCATGATGCAGTATTCCACCAATTTATCCAGATATTCATTAGCTGTAACGTTAAGCCTTAATTCTTCAGCTAAAATAAAAATTAAAGTTATATAATAAAAGAATCTAATTTTTTTTCTATATTTTTAAATAAAATACATCTGAATCCAGAATACATCATATACTTACTGGAATGAGGTTTAAGATTAAATTCTCCTTCATCTTTGCTGATCGGATGAGCTTTAAGACCGTTGTAATATACTGTACCAGCAGAAAGGTGGACTTTGATGTGACGTTGGCTATTACTGTTGTTTTTGATTTTCACCACAACGCTGAAATTTTCTCCAATTTTAATTTGATCCAAATCCTACAAAATATATATTGTTTAATATATACCTATTTTCTCGTTCTTTTTAATTAATAAATAGATGATTGATTGTCAGAGCTGGGTAGTATCCGGATACTTCTGTATTATTACTTATTGAGATACAGGGAGTCAAAATTGCAAATTTAAATTTTTTCTAGTAGCATAGGCATAGACATACTTGACGATGTTTTGTTAAGTTTTTAAATGACAGCGTGGTGTTTGAATTTGAAGAAAACAAAAAACTAAATTACATTAAAACACACAGAATTTCACAATTTTTTAGTCCCGTCTAACGTCTATTTCATACAACTAAATAACTACAACAATAATGTTTATGCCGTATTTTGTTTTTTTATCATTTAATAACAAAATTTCGATGGAGTTACGTTTAAAATTTGTATACCATGTCCTTTCAGACCATTCATTTTAATTCGTGTGCCATGACAAATTGTGATATTCTTAAAATATTTTCAAACTAGCTTTGTCGAATTTCGATAGGAGAGCTCATTTCGTTTAAAAAATGATAGTATGAGGGGGTAAGTTAGACAAGCTTTTTTTAATTCCAGATAGAGCAACATGAATTCAATTGATCCTGCAGTTGCATCTACCAGTTCCAATCCAGAACAAAGTGATGACACTCCAGAAGATCCATTTGCTACAAGTTCAGATGATCCCGATTATCACCTAGACCTAGAAGAAGAATTATCAGATTCCGATTCTGCCCAAAGTATACCTCGAAAATCTCAGACAAATTCTCTTATGAATTTCTTCAAACTAAAAGGAAAAAATGAACCAAACCAAGTTTGTATGATATCCGAACCTCTAACAAGACTTGTTAAAAACATGGGAGAAAAATCTGATGATCCACAAAGTTCGCAATTTGCTTGTAGTTCCTCCATACTAGATGGAAAATACTTTAAAATAAAAGAAAACGACGGCGAAAACATTACAGCTGATTGTCAACTCTGCCTTCCACAGAAGAAAACCATAAAAGGGATAAAAGGTTCTTCTTCAAATTTTTTTAAACACTTAAAAAGGATTCATCCTAATAAAATTGACGAGTATAATAAGTATAAAATTTCAAAGAAAGATTTGACCAGAAAAAGACTTAATGCAACTCAAGATTTCGAAAGTCGAGAACCCAAACAAGCTAAGCTTATTCAACCAAACATTTTTGGAATGGCCAAAGAGGGAAGCAAATCAGTTTTAAGCCAATCTCTGTTTGAAAAAAGAATAATAAATTTTGTTGTGAGCACAATGAGTGCAATATCTATAATAGAACACCAAAGTTTTAAGGATATCTTCCAAGGATTAAATTTGAAAATACCAACAAGAAAGACAGTAATGAAACGAATTATAGATTCGCACGATGAAAATATGCAAATTATTAAAGATAAAATTAGGGGTGTTAATTACGTATGCACTACAGCTGACATATGGTCAAATAAAAAAAGAAGCTTCTTAGGAGTTACAGTTCACTGGTTAGATGAGGACTTTATCCGCAAATCAGCTGCACTTGCCTGTAGAAGGTGAATAAATTATAATTGTATATTTTTCGATATTTCTTTGGTTAAAACGCTACGATCTACCTAATCTCAAATATTAAGTATTTAATCATTCTACGGGGTAGCCAAAATCCAAAAAGGAATGATTTTATGAAAAAAGATGAAACACTTTAATTTATACAATTATTAAACTTACAACTATTTTTAAATATACAGTATGTTCATGTTGTAAAGAATTATAGAAATAAGGCAAAGCGAAGATACATTTTTCAATCGGAAAACTTTATACATTTGTAAAGTTTCGTCAATGATCTGATTTCCGATTTCAGCAATATATTTATTTGTTAGATTTAGGACCTAGCACCTTTTTGCATGGAAGCAATAAATTAAAAATAAAGAAAATCGTTGCTTAAGTTCCTATCTTACCTTTTGAAGTACTATTCAATGCACTAATAATAGTTTATTGTCCGAAATTATTGATTTTTATCACCCTTTTTTATTTATCGCATTGACTAGTACTTACTTAAAAAGATATTTACAAGACAGCCGATTTTCTGTTTTCAACAATTATCATGTGAAAACAGGTACACAGCTAAATTGTGATTTTCAAATATCTATACCTCCTAAACCCAAATATTTAAACAAAATGCCGAAATCAGATAATGCAGGAGAATTCAAAATTGTAAAAATATATAGGATGGTTCAATTGAAAATATGTATATTGCTTATCCACCGTTTCTGTGCAACACTCTATATTTTTAAATATTTTTAAAGGGTCCTACCCTATTTTCTTTCTTTAAAATTTTTCTTTGTAACGAAAATACATCTTACAGCCTTTATTTTTCGGCCATCCCACTATACAAATTCATAGTCTTGTACATTCTACATGGACGATGTACAAACAAAAATTTAAGAACCATTGTTTATTTTAGGTTTAAAGGTGTTCACTCCTACAGAAGCATAGCTGAGATGCTAGAAGATATAAATTTAAAATTTGGTTTAACAGAAAATAAAATTGTGGGGACAGTAACAGACAACGGTAGCAATTTCGTTAAAGCTTTTAAAGTATTCGGCGAGAAAAATGAAGAGGACGACGATGAGGAAATTGACGAAGAAGAAAATGAATTGCAAATTTTACATTTAGAGGTTGATGAAGGCAAAGAGTTAGAAGACCAGGATATACAGCTACCCAAGCATATGCGATGTGCCACACATACTTTAAATTTAATAGCCACAACAGATTATAAAAATACTGTTATAAACATTCCAACTATCCGCATAAGAGAAAAGAATGCATTTAGTAAATGTGCTCAGTTATGGAAAAAATCGAATAAACCAAAAAGCAATGAAGTTATAATTAAAATTTTAGGACATACTCTAAGTTCTCCAGGGGCCACTAGATGGAACTCCACTTTTGATGCAGTTTCACAGATTCTTCAAGCAAAAGAAAAACTTCCAATTTTGCTACAAAATCTAACATTAGAACCTTTTAAGGAAACTGAACTATTATACCTAGAGGAATACTGTTTAGTTATGAAACCTTTGGCTTTAACGTTAGATTTGTTACAAGGTGAAGAGAATGTATCTTTTGGATATTTGTTACCCAGCTTAATTTCATTAATTAATAAATATGAGAAACTTCTTGCCCAAACAAAATTGAAATATGGAGGAGAACATCTAGCAAAAATGTGCATTAAAAGCTTAAATACTCGTTTTGCTAACATTTTAAATTTGGAATGGGAAGATCCAATTATAGCTGCAGTTCTTCTTCCTAAATTTAAGCTAAAGTGGTACAATGTAGTACATAATCCCAAAAAAACTTTAGAAGATATCAAAAAATGCATTATAACTGTTGCAAAAAAACAAATGGAGTTGGAAAGTTGCAATGAATCAGACGAAAGTGGAGATCAAAATTTAGATGACTTTTTTGATTTTAGCGATTTCCGAGACCAGCAAGTGGACAATAGCTGTACTATTACATATAATGAACAGGAACAGGGTTCCAGCGTAAATAATAAAACTTCAAAAATACAGTTAGAATTGTTACGATATTTGGAGGACAAAAGAACCAATTTACAAATCCTAAATGAATACCCAACCTTAAAAAGGGTGTCAACAAAATATAACACATGCTTACCTTCGTCAGCACCAGTTGAAAGACTTTTCTCTTTTGCAACTATGATTGATACACCTAAAAGAAAAGCTTTAAGCGATGAACACTTTGAGGTATTGGTACTTACAAAGGCAAATTCAAAGGCACTTCTGTAAATATATGCGAAAAAATCTTCAGCAATTTCTTTATTAATACGTTTTTATTTTTATTTAATTTTTCTTTACATATTATAGTATGTTCTGGTTTGATTAATCATGTTCTTGTTTTATTATTCATAAGTAATAAACAATTTCTTGAGTGTTTTTTGATTTCTGTTTCCAGTATTTTATGCACGTTCTTTTTATTATTATATACAATAAAAATACATGCTCATCACATAATTCTATCACTAGCAATTTAGGTCACTTTTAAAAGTATCCTTAAAAGTATCCTAAGAAGTATCCGAAAAAAGTATCCGGATACTTGTATCCGAATACATTTTGAAGTGAAAGTATTCGTACTTTTTTAAAAAGTATCCGGATACATTTTGAGTATCCGTATCCGGTATCCGGATACTTTTTTTCTGTATCCGACCCAGCTCTGTTGATTGTAAGTATAAAATTTCTATTATAGGTATTTAGAAATCATTAAAAGGAACCGTTGACTCTCTACCGCATGAAAATCCATATATGGATTTGGTAGTTTACTATTTTTTTTTAAGTTTAAAGTTAAGCAGATACGCAGGCGTAGCATAACGTGAACCGTACATTTGTTTGGAAACCTCAATATATTTTTAAAATTTGGCAACCCTGCTAGACAAGTCAACCCAATCATTTTAGTTACAACGTGCTGTGCATTGCGATTTTTTAGAACAAGTGAAAAATTTATCTTCAAGCAATCAAACATTGGCGTTTTATAAGTAAGTAATCATTTTTTTTATTATTTCATGTCTAATTGGTGTTTGTTCTTTATAAGTTAGATGATATTTAGTGATTATTTACTTGGGTTTGTCAGAGAAAACGACATTTAGTGATCATCCATATATGGCTTCTTATGCATTATCGTAAAAAATATACAGATTTTGGCTTTGTATGCATTTGAAGATTAATTTATGTAGATATTATTTGTTTTCAGAAATGGATCCTAAAAGGTTTTATTGCAGTTCTAAATAGGTGAACATTATTCCCAGTGATGGAGGGTTAAGCGACGATGATTATACTGATTCAGACGAAGAATATTTACCTTCTTCGTCTACAAAACAACGTCTTCAGTCCGTAGTATTATCTGAAACTGATTGTTCTGACATAGAGACATCTGATGCCGAATCAGAAGTTGACGATGTTAGGGCAAATATCTCAATAGGACTCAAACCAGCAGACAAAAATAAATCAATATCTACATCTAAAAACAAGAAAGAGAAAATATTATGGAAGGAATCAAAATTGAAGAGTTATTATGAAAATGATTATGCTTTCTTGGGAGAATCTGAATGGCCAGAATTCATGCAGAGATTAAATAGTCTTATAGGCTTTTTTTAAATTCTTACTTAATGACGACTTATTGGAGTTAATAGTTAATGAGTCAAATTTAAAATAAGTGTCAGATAAAGTAAAAAGCCCGGCAAAATTACGAAGTATGAAATTGAACAATTTATTGGAATCAGCGTATTTATGTCAATTTTAAAATTACCTTCTAGTAGACTCTACTGTACTACTACTATACTACTGTACTAGTCAACGACTTGTATACGAAACTATGAATTGTAATCGGTGGGAAGAGATTAAAAAATGTTTACATTTCAATGACAACAATAAGTTTATAAGAGCTGGTTTATCCGGTCACGATAAACTTTTTAAAATAAGACCTATCGTAGAGAACATACGTGAACAATTATTATTAGTTCCTAAAGAAGAGTATCTCTCTATTGATGAACAAATCATACCTACTAAAACATGATACAATTCTAAGAAACCCAAGAAATGGGGATCCAAAAATTTGGTACTTAGGAGTTTCAGGATTCAGCTACGATTTTGATATATTTGCTGGAAAGCAAAGTAATGTTATACCTGTTGGTGCACCAGATCTTGGAGTAAGTGGCAATATATTTAGAAAACTAGTACAATCTCACGGCACAAAAATCATAATGGTCAAAAAACAAAAATAATAAAACATGGTCGAGGTACTATGGTAGAGAAAACTGCTGTTATAGATGGAGTAGAAATCTCTTGTGTTTATTGGTACGACAACAAATTAGTTACCATGCTCTTAACATACGTAGGTAGTTCTCATTACTTCCAGAGAGCGCTATTTTCGAGAAGCCAAAGAACATCGTGAAATTCCTTGTCCTAAATCAATAGATGTTTATAACAAGCATATGGGAGGAGTTGATCTATTGGATTTCATGTTAGGGTTCTATAGGATTCAGTTACGTTCAAAAAATGGTACAAGAAATTATTTTTTCACCTGTTGGACATATGCATTGCGAATGCATGGATCCTATGGCGCCAAAAGAGTGTAAAGTATATGCCATTATTTGACTTCAAACAATATATGGCAGAAAATTTATGCAAGGCGGGCAAGAATAGTTAGCCAAAGAAAAGGGGTCGACCATTAGCAGAAACTCCCAAATCCAAAAAGCGGCTTACTTTGCAATGAAGTTCGTATAGACGCCATTGGCCACTTTCTCCAGTGGAACGATACAATATTGTTGTGCTATAATCACTGTAAATTTAGATCTTTTGTTAGATGTACTGAATGTAACGTATATTTTTTATATTTAAACAAAGATAGAAATTGTTTCGTAAAATTTCACTCCTAAAAACAATAACTAGTTTAAGTGTATAAGAAGCCATATTTGTACCTGTCTATTTTGGTACATTTTAAGTTTATTGCATAGGAAGCCATATATGGCTATTTTTAATTAGTAGAAAATTGCTGTAAATTCTTTGGTGAATATAATTCTTCATAACAACAAAATCTTAAATTTTGCAACACAATTTTTTTTCTATCTAAAACATAATTCATGCAGTAGAGAGTTAAAAGATATAATGTGCAGAAAACCGAAATACTTCTTTTATCAGATTAAATTCAAAATATTGGTCAATTACATACTGTCACCGAAGTTTTTTTAACCACACTTGCATAAATTGGAATTTATGTTAACGTTTATTTATTTTTGTCTTTGTCTGGCTAAAAAAAGTGTCCCTCCATAAAGGAACAAAAATACTTATGTCTATCTTTTGCAACAATAATTAGAAATTTATATCATCTAAGCACCTAGAACACTCTCTTAAGTGGCCAGATATGCCTTTGTCCTTTTTCCAATATTATTTTTTCTTTTTCCCTCAATCTTTCCTTGGGCTGGTTTATTCTTTAGTTGAATATATATTTGATTTCCTTAAATAGTACTCGTGCTACAAATAGGACTATTTCGTTAAATTTTTTGTATTATTAGGATTATTTGTTCTTCTAGTATTGACTTACAATTCATTTTTCCCTCTTTGTATGCTCTCTTTGGTCATTTATCTACTTGCCCATTGTTTGTTATTCCTACTAGGTATAATGACTATGTGGTCAAAGTTGGCTGGTGACCCAAGGCCAACCCTCAAGTGGGTATAGTTTCGAGTAGGGACATACTGTTCCCAGAATTTAAATCTTTAACCATCGACAATATGCCGTTTAGTTTTATACTTTTAAGTATCCAATATGTAAATTAATTACACCCACTGCTTGGTGATGAGGTTATTTTAGCAGGTACTTTTAAGTTTACTGAAGAAGTTTTTACTTCATTGTAAAACTGTCGTGGCATACAGTCAATTCGCAGGAACTTTCCCACTTTACGCATGAAAATAATTATATTCTGGTATTCTTCTTCTTTTGTATGTATTCTAAGACTTTTTGTAATGTTTGTATGTTTTTTTGAGAAAAAAAATTTTTGTATGGGTTATAGTATTACAAAAGCATACTATTGATTAATTTACTGCAATATATTTTATACTTGATTTTTATTGTACTTACTTGTAACGTAAATTCACAATCTTCAGTTTCCTCATCAGGCATATCAAAGAACCTCTTGGCTGCTTCAGTTCCTCGGACAGCGTTAAGCAGAGATAAACGTTCTGCTTTTGATCCCTCCTCCGGTTTGTATAAACGAGTTATATCTTGACGATCTCTGTCTCCATTGTAATCATACATGAATGGTTGTTTGGTGAGAATATAGCGACCAACGCTAAAAAATTAAAATGTTAATATTGAATACATTACGTAACTTAGTGTAGGTAGCGACTAATGTTTAGTGTTTTGTATAATCACATTAAATGAAGCATAAGAAAAAACGAATGTAGAAAGAAGGGCAGAAAAACAAATCAAAATAGGAAATTTACGAAACTACTAAATAAAACTTAACTTATTTATCAAAAAAAGACTTAAAAAAACCTTGAAAACTAAAGTAGCGAGAAACTACCAGTAGTACAGTGAGTGGATGGTTCCCAGTCGTAGTACTGATAGTGAAGTGAACAGTGACAAGTGTAGTAGTGTCTGGGCGCTCAGAAGACTGATACCTTGGAAGCCCTGAAGAAGACATCAGAGAGGATGTCGAAAGCTCGGCCCAATGGATATCGACGCGGTTCAACCCGGAAGTATGGTGAGTTATGAACTATATACGTAATATTTCAGATAAATAGAAATAGAGTGAATATTAATTAATCTTAAGTTGGTCTTACTGATATTTGTTACAATAAATCCTCTTGTATCCTAATACATTGGAATGATCTACTTTCCAACGCATCAGATCTGCATTGACGGAAGCAACCATGAAGCCAACGTCATAGTTGAAACCGACTTGTCCCTTTTTGATAGCCTCCAAAGATGCTGGTCCGCACTGGTAAAAGCCACTTGATGGTTCTTGAGGAGTGGCGTCAATGGCTTGCCAACCACCATAGCCTAAATTAGAAAAGGTTTAGGAAGTATTGTAGAAAATTTGTTGCAAAAAAATTACTGTTTTCATCTAATATAGCAAATTTAAAAATGTATGCTTTCATCTACCAAAAATATAAAACATTGTTGTCTAATCTCAAAGCAGCAATGCTTTAAATAATTTCAATTCGAATATTTGACAGAATTTGTTTGAATTAATTTAATATATATTTTATTTGTGCAGTAATATTTTATTTAGGTGAATAGATGAAGTAATTTCGGACATACAAAAGTATTTTGGATATAAACCTTGATAAAAGCTGTGTATATTTTCTCATTTCGCATAGAGAGTTAGAAGTCAATTGTATAAAGTCAAAGTAAAAATATTTCAATTAAGTTTAATAGAGTAAATAGGAAATAGTTAAGTTCTAAAATATTTTTAATAGCGTCTTAAGAGCTTATTAAGGTAAAAGAAGTAGCAAAGGATAAAAAGATATAAGCTATAATTGAAAACAAAAACAGTTCAAATTTATCATACCAATGTCCTATTCCTGTTAAAGATGAGATAAAAATTGATTATTTGTTCAATAAAATATTTGACTTTGACTTTAACTTTAAGACTGTCATTATTTTAAAAGATCTGTTCTAGTTACCTGGAGGAAGATCTGGACGTGCCATATAGACATCGTTCCAAACATGGTAGTTCCAAATGGAATCCTCTCCTTCGGGGTTATTAGGATCAAAAGGCAATTCCTCGTTGTGTTCGTTGAAGTATTTATCCACTGTCAACGTAGAATTAGCGTCGTGGGCAGAAACTAAGTTGGAAACGACTCTTGATGGAATACCAAGGGCACGAGCAACTATAAAACATGAATAATTAGAGGAAACTGTAGAAAACTTTCTATTTAAAATAATACAATCATTGTTAAAAGGCATAAAACTCTTTTCTACTTTTCCTACTCACTGGTTTCTATCGCTTTGTTTTTGTTTAGCTTAAAATTTGTTATGAATAATCTTTTCCAGTATATTTTAGTATTTCAGTAGGACTTGTTTTTTTAAATATATAAATGTTTGTAGTATATTATTTGGTTAGCATTATTATAGTCTTCTTCTTCTTCTAGTGCCATGACCGTTATCGATAGTTGAATATCATATTGGGTACCATATTCGCTATCGTGACTTTATTCAAAGCAGCTCCAAATAACGATGTAGTTGATTTTCCATACAATTGCCTTAGATTTTTCAGCCATGATGTTCTTCTTCTACCAGGACCACGATTACCTTGGATCCTTCCTTGAATGATCAGACGTAAAAGATCATATTTTTCAGGGTATCTCATAATGTGACCGAAGTATTCCAGCTTGGGTTTCTTTATTATATTGACCAGTTGTGTTGTTTGGTTCAGCCGTCTAAGGACCTCCTCATTTCTAACTCTGTAGACTCAGCTTATTTTCAGTAGTCGTCTGTATACTCACATCTCAAAGGCTGTCAAGCGTTTTAGGATAGCCTCAGTTATTGTCCACGCTTCCACTCCATACAGCAGGACAGGAAAGATATAGCAAGATGTCATTCAAACTCGATCGTGACTGCAAAGTACGTTTCTCATTTTTACAAAGGCAGCTCGGGCTTTTTCTATTCGGCTTTTAATTGCTTCGGTTGGATCCCAACTCTCATTGATATTACTGCCAAGATACACGAGTTTCTCTAGCCTGTCCAGTGTAGCATCTCCGACTTTTACATCGTCATCCTGTATATAATTTTGTTTGCTAACTATCATATATTTAGTTTTCTTAACGTTGAGTTTTAATCCATACTGTTCACAAGTCTGTTTTATTTTGTTCATTAGATTTTGAAGGTCTTCTCCGCAATTGGCAAGAACTAAGGTATCGTCGGCATTTTTAATATTGTTGACGGTTACTCCATTCACAATAATACCTTCGGTTGTCTCCATTAAGGCTTCCTTAAATATTTCCTCCGAATATAAGTTAAAAAGTAAAGGCGACAATATACAGCCTTGCCTCACTCCTCTTTTATATTTATTTCATCCGACAGTTCTTGTTCAACCTTTATTCTTGCCACTTAATGCCAGTATAGATTTGTGATTATTCGTAGATCTTCATCGTCCAATCCAGCTGTTTCCAATATTTCTAGCATTTTGTTATGTCGGACTTTGTCAAAAGCCTTTTCAAAATCGATTGCACAAATGTACACATTTTGATTTATATCTCTGCATATCTGTACTAGCACCTGTATACTAAATAAGGCTTTTCTTGTACCCAAGCCACTCCTAAATCCAAATTGAGTATTGCTAATTCTGTCCTCTAACAGCGTGTAAATTCTGCTGTGTATTACTCGCAGTAAGATCTTCAAAATGTGACTCATCAGACTTATTGTCCGATAATCACCGCATGTCTTTGGACGATGTTTTCTAGGTATTGTGACAATTGTCGACTTTAACCAATCAGTTTTTAATATCCCAGTGTCATAAATTCTGTTAAAGAGATTACACAGAGCTTTAATAATTCCATTTTCTCCATTTCAATTTCCATACTTTAGTATTTCAGCACTTACTTTATCGGGGCAATAAAAACTTTAGTATTTCAACACTTACTTCATCGGGGCCAAGTGCTTTTCCATTTTTTGTCGTTTGTATCGAACGTATAATCTCACTTTCTGTTATAGATGGATCTGATATAGCAATTGGTGTATAGTTTTCTACTCTACCATCTTCAAATAATTCAGAAATGTAGTTTTCCCATTCTTTTAACTATTCATTGATGTCTAAGATTCTGTGTCCGTTTCTGTCGTCTAAACTTTGGGATACTTGTTTCCGTTTGTTTCCAGTGACCTCTTTTAATTTCTTGTGTAGATGAAATGTATCGTGTTTATTTTCATATTGTTCAATTTCATTACATTCTTTACTATGAAATTGTATTTTCGCGTGTCTTATCGTATGCCTGATTATTGCGTGGATCCTCTTGTATTCATTTTTATCTTTATTTCTGACTTCTTTAATCCATAAGTCTCAGTATTTCTTCTGTCATCCACCGTTTTTTTCTTGCTTTTAGCGCACTCAATTTTATTTCTTGAACAGTCTTTAAGATGTCTTTAATTCTCGTCCAGTTTTTCTCAGTACTTTCTTCTTTGCTTGATGTTAACTTCATTTTTTGTTCTAATATACTAGATATTTCTTGTTTTACAGTATCATTTAACATTTTTTCTCTATCAATAATAACTGTTTGCTTATTCGTCCTTGCAACTCTTTTTAATCTCAGTCTTATTTTTCCTACTAAAATATTGTGATCTGTTGGTACATCTGCGTCTGGATATGTTTTACTGCTAATACTGAATTTCTGTATCTCTTATTTATACATATGAAGTCTATTTGGCTACGAACAACTCGTTCAGGTGTATCTGCTGGTGATTTCCAGGTGTAAAGACGACGTTTTGGAAGTTTGAAAATGGTGTTGGTTATTACTAATTGCTTTTCTACGCAAAAAGATGCCAACATATCTCCTCTTTCTTTCGTATTCCCAGACCATATTTTCCTATATCTTCCTGTTCACCTTCACCAATCTTTGCATTAAAATCTCCCATGATAATATTGAGATCGTGTTTCTTTGTAGGTGATAATACTTTTTTTATTATATAACTATTATAGTAAAAATTTTGAACTACTGCTAGTTTAATTTTCCATGAGGATTCAATTCATTAGCGGAGTCAATATTTGTCTTTTTTTTGGTGACGTTGTTTTTTAATTGCTAATAAGTAAGTGCAAAAAATGCAGTTTTTCTTGTCATTAAGAAGGTATGTAACTGAAATAAATTCTTAAATGTTTTCTTAACATTTTTTTTCATTTTTTCTTTTCTAATTTTCTTTATATTTTTCTTTAAAGGCTTTCTCTATTATCTGTTGCAAGTGAATATATGGTCTTGTGTCTTATGTCCTGTTCTGAATCCGCTTTGTACGTCTTCTATTTTTTGTTCTATTTCTATCGTGACTGTTTTTTCTATTATTATTTCATATAGTTTGGCTGCTATACATAGTAATAATATGCTCCTAGAGTTCTGGCAGTCTTTTGTGTTCCCCTTCTTGTGCACTGGTACAATTATTGCATTTTGGCATTTACTCGGCAGTATTTTTTTCTTCCATATTCAATTTAGGATGTATAATAATCTTTTTTTTGCTTTTCTTCCTATATATTTCAACATCTCTGCTTTGGCGTCGTTTGTTTCTTCCGTATTTTCCTCTGATCCGCCAATTACGTAGTTTTCATTTTCCTTTTCTTTTACTTGTTCAATAGTTGTTCGAAATATTTTCTTCACCCTTCGATTATATCCTTGTCATCGGTTAATATTGTTCCGTTTTTGGTTATTATTTGTTTTAATTTTTATTTCTTTGTAGCTTTTTAGGTTTGTCAGTATTATGTAAAACAATTTTACATTTTCTCTAGTATTTTCTTTCATTTTAAAATCAGTGAATAGTTTGTAAGAGAATATATGTAAAGTGTAAGTTAGTGATCTATGACTAGAAGCAAGAAATATGCATAAAACGTTCCTTTTTATATATTAATACATACTTGTAGTGCATACTCCTGAGAAAACCCAACATTGACCATAGCTCACTGGTTGTTCGGAATCTAAATACTGTTGGAGAATTGGTACAGATCCTGTCCAAGCAGAAGGGGCAGTACCATCCTCGTACTGTCCATCCCATCGTCCTACCAAAATACCATCGTCGTCGTTGCTATTAACCATTTTGGAGATGATTCTCGTCAGCTTTATTGGATCACCACGACTAAAAGCAAAATAAATTTATAAAAATGTCTGATTAGATTAGCTTAACTAATTTTTCTCTGAAAAAAAGTGCGGTTGAAGTTGTCAAAAAATCAGATTTTTAAAGATTTGCTTGGTTTTTAAGGTTCTCAAAAATCTTGCTCCATGACTTGCGGTGTGTTTCTTTTGTTTCGTTCAGGGGCTTACCACGATAATAGTGATTCGTCAATTTTAATTTAATAAACCTCTTGAATGAATAGTATAAAACCTCGGTTCTTAAAACACTTAACAGTTTTTTAATAGGAGCACCACAATGCCGGGTCTAGGACGTGGTCAAGGTCAAACGCTGAATGCAGAAGGTGATATACAACGGCATATCCAACATCTATCCACTTCACGACAGCATAAGGCGCAAGTAACAAGATACCTACATGATAAAAATACTATTTCGACTTCATCGTCTACGCATATTTTACAGCACATTTTATCAGCAATATATTTACAGGTTTTTAAGCCCAGGATGATGCATCTGTCTGTGCACAATATTCTGATAAAGACCAGAGTATAAAATATATCCCCGTTGAGCTGCTTGTTTTTCGTCAATACGTCTTTTCGGCTAATTCGGACCAGATCGTGTTGCACAATTTGTACGGAAGAACTTGTATAAAAAAGCCTGCTTTAGCAAAGTCGTGGCCGTCACCACATCAAGTTTCAATAGTTTTTAAACGATCCTGTAGTTAATTATTTTTTTTATACTTTTAAATTGATGAACAATTGTGATCTTGTTTTTTTAAAAGTTCCTCATTAGTCTCCCAATTATTTAATCTTGTAATGCTGAAACTACAAATTACTTCTTCGTTGTAACCTGTATAAGTATGTAAAACTTGCTAGACGAAATTCCAATGTCTTTATTGGGTGGGAACGTGGCCATATTTTAAAATGTTCTCAGACTCTTTGCTACACCATAGTTTAAACACATAGCGGGTACGGTCGTCATGTTGTACCAAAAAAAGATAAAACACATACCTAAGTAAAGAAGAAGAACTGCTTATAATAAAATTCAGTGACAATAACGATGACCAATAATATAGTACAATTCACTAGCAAGTGGATAATATTCTTACTATATTACTTCTACTTACATTATCAGTTGGATAGTTGATAGGTTCTGTTAAGTCTTTTAGAAGACTACGGGTATGATGCTACTCTGGAGCCGGTCGATTACTGACTTTTATGTCACGTCACTGTTTATGCTCATTCGCCCAGTTTTTAAGGTATCATATTATTCTTAACAGTAGAAAGATGTTACTTATGAACATTTTTAGAACACTTTTTCAAGATGGCCGCCGCGTCAACTGTCATTTTTAAGGGTGCCCGCCACGTCATCTGTCATATGTTTCAGCACACTTTAACCAGCAGTTTGAACCGTACGCGCATCTGTTTCGTGCATACTCCTTCCGCGGGCCGGTTGGGAGCACTTTATTTTCAGTTCTTTTAAAAATATGACGACAGAACAAAAATAAAAAAGGAAATATATACCAGTTAGTAAATATAAGTTTTAATAATGAGTGGTAGGAGAATATCTTTTATATTGACAATAACGTAAAATCATTATGTATTCGTACTATTCTATCCTCTGCCATTCTACTAATGTGTTGGTTTTACTGCTGTTTTCGTTTTGTTGCCCATCCATTTCTTTTGGATTTCTTTGTTTCCCATTCTGTAACCATGATCTTTATGTACGTCTTGTATTATTTCCTCCATTATTATATTAAAGAGAAGTGGGCTTAACGAGTCACCCTATCTGACTCCGCTTTTTATAGGTATATACTTACTGTGTTAGTTTTCCATTTATCTTTGCCTGTATTCGATTATGGAAGTAGATGTTTTTGATGGTTTGTATAATATTGATTGGTATGTTTCTCTTATACAGTAGGTGTAAGACGTGATCGACTAATATGTGATCGAAAGCCTTTGTCAGGTTTATAAGAGATAGGTATGCTGGTCTATTGTACTCGATGGCCTTTTCTGTGATTTGTGTTAGTACAAATACGGCGTCTACGCAGGATCTTTCTATCATTATGCTGTTTCTCCATGCATCTGGTATCTTGCAGTTCAATATTAGTTTTTATATAAGTTTTGTCATCTCTACGGTTATACTATTTCTTCCGTGTTTTAGAAGCTCCTTGGATATTCTGTCTGGTTCTGATGACTTACTATTTTTGAGTAAATTTATGACTATCTCTACTTCCTGAAAATTGATTTCTATTTCGTGTCTTAATTCAGGTACGTTAGTGTGTTGATTATTATTTTCCTTTTCTTTGAACAGTTCCATCATGTATCTTTCCCATTCGTTTGCTGATATGTTATTGTATTCATTTAATTCTGCCATTTGTTTCCGTTGGTTTCTTATGAATCTCCATATTTGTTTGTGTGTACTGTAGAAGTTACTATCCATCCTTTTTGTAAACTGTTTCCAGTGTTCGTTTTTTGTTCTTCTTACCAACTGTTTTGTTTCATTTCGTATTCTTCTATAGTTGTCTCGGGATTCTGTGGTATTTGATGATTTGTACTTCGTGTAAGCCTTTCGTTTCTCTTTACATTTCTCTTTATTTTTTCTAAACAATGGTTATTGTTGTCTTCTACTTCTACTCACAATCCGTAATAGGTTTTTATTAAAATGTAAAAAATTGAAAAAATAAAAATTGGACTCTAATCTTTATTTTTTCTATAGGATTTGACAGAAAGTTACCATGTTTTTCGTAAGGCAGCTTTTTGAATTACATTATATAATTGTTTATGTAAATGTTTGTCCGGTATGTAAAGGTTATTTTAAAGTTGAATTTCTAACTTATGTAAATAATTTACAAAGTAATTTCGGAAACGGTGATGCTTACCTGGCCCAAGGAAGTCCAGATTTCTCAAACATAAGTTGAATGGCTGGAAGAGTGCAACCATCAAATTGACCGAAAATCCATTCTCTTCCTTTCGTAGTTCCTAGTGGACCAACCCAGATCTTGCCAGTGTCATTCAATACGTATTCTTCTAACAATCTGGTTTCGGGCATGTAAACCATATCGTCTAAAAGGAATAAATGCATTAATATAGATATACACTAAATCATATGAAACGAAAGCAGTAAATTGAACAATGGCAATAAATACTGCTAATAGTTTATAATAAAATGGCGAAGAAGAACGAACTAGCACATTTACTGACCAAATAATTTCAAAAAAATACTTACTTACCAGATGGAGATTTATTTAAAACAGACCAAGAAGTTTTTGAGTATAAAAGAAGGCAAGGAGTGGGGGAATTAAAATCAAAATAGTAGGGGAAAGATTAGTAAGTTAACGAAGTAGATAAGATGACGAATATGCTAAAATAAAGCAGTAGCAACGCTTAAAGCAATGTTAACCGTGTTAAAACAACTGTTTTGAAGCGTACTCCTATCTAATTGGTTTGTCAGCGGACGTAGATAATCAGTTTGGTTACAAATAGCAAAGAGTGTAACACGTGTTCTGCGTTATAATTTTAATCAACGCAAAAATAATTTCTACTGATGGCTAGTTGAGTATTATCATTCAATCTCTACCGTTACAAGCAATTCCTACATGGTTAAACTGTGATTTAGGAGAAAAATTAACAAAACCGTTTATTTACTTTTGTCATTACCAACATTTTTGTTTGAAATAGCTTAGGAGGTTAAGTTGACGAAAAACAAAGTAGGTAAGGTGACGAATTCGTCAACTTATCCAACGACCCTTTATTCTAATATTTAATGATTTTTTTTGAGGTTTTTAGGTTGTAAAAATGGACAAAATATAAGTACGCAAAACAAATCGACCATCTTGGACAAAAGAAGATATTAATAAAACATTTAGCGATGTTAGAGATATTCAAAAAAGTGTGAATTCGACAGCTAAAAGCATAGCATACCAAAACCAACTTTTCATATTTACAGAAGTATCCCAATTAGGTAACTTATAAAACAGCCATACTCTATTTCAAATTTCAAATTAAATAAATATTTAACACTCCACCTAAATTCAAAGGAACATGTTTGTGGCTTAGAAAGCGAAAAATTGATTAAAAAGTTGAGGTAAAAAAAATCGAATATATTTTTCGCACTCTTTTCAAAACATTTTTCTTTCATAAGGATATATTTTCAGGTTTTTCCATTCCACACAGGACGTTTCAAAAATACGTTTTCTGATGAACAGCTATGAGAAATGCTACAATATATTAATGATGTCGATAAACGTTCATTTGGTCTTACCAAAGAACAATTTGGTAAAATAACATTTTATTTTATTTATTTATTTGCTCATCTGGTAATTTATTACAATCGAAGAGACTATTTTATAACAATTTGTGGGCCTTACCTTGTCTGTTTAAACTTTTAAAATTTTTATACTTTTTATTCAACTTACTCATTTAAATAAAACCACAGACATGTAATATTGGCATAATTATTGTAATTTACAACATCTACTTTGTGTATCGTTATTGGACAACACCCTAATATAGGTTTTTATTATTTCAGCATTTGTTTAACTTTGTATCGAGACCTGAGAATGCTTTGCATATTGTAGATAGCGAAACCGGTCGTCAGATAGTTAAATTAAATTGATTGTGAGTAAGTTTTATTTATTATTTCTATACCTATTTGAAGTGGACTCACACAAGCAACACATTCATGATGTCAATAAACGTATTTTTTATCTTTAATTGTGGCTTATTCCCAGTTAAAGTAATTAATAAAATTCCTAATAGATTCAACAAGACAAAAAAGAAAGCAGGTCGATATTTTGTTGAGTGGTTTAAGAAAAAATACAAATTATCACTAAGAATTCCTGAGCCAACGTCCATTATAAGTTGTATGGTCTTCAATCAACAAAATGTTTCTCAGTTATTTAAAGACATTAGAAGACATAAAGACAGACATTAGAACAGAAGTATAAAAGACATTAGAAAAAAATACAATTTTACATTCAACCAAATTTATAACCTCGATGAAACCGATATTTCTACTGTTGCTACTAAGAATCCTAAAGTGATAACACCAAGGGAAAAATGTCGAGTTGTAAAATTGTCATCAGCAGAAAGAGATACAAATGTAACAGCTGTCTGTTGCATGAATGCCATGGGAATTTGATACCACCATTTTTAATTTTCCCAATACAAAATGCAATTAGCATATATGGATTCGTTGCGTTTCTATATGAAACAGGTTGGATGAATTCAGAAAATTTCGTAAAATACCTACATTACTTTATCCAGCATGCTAGACCCAATAACAACAATAGAATACTATTGTTATTGGACAACCGCGCTAGCCATGTCATCCTAGAAGCTATTAACTTGTGCCGGGAAAATTTTATTTCCTGATCGGATTTACTATACGGGCCTTTAAAAAGTGCATACAGCAAAAACTGTGATAACTTCCTAATAAATAATCCCGCTAAAGCTATAATTTTATATGATATAGCCACCATAGCCACCACCAGTAAAGCATACTTTCAAGATGCAATGATTGCCAATGCCATAAGTGGCTTTAGAACCACTGGTATGGAACCATTTGACTTAAAAATATTCACCTAAACTTTATCTGGAAGCATCAAAAACAACAGAAAGACAATTAACGCCAATTGGAGAATTGAATTACTTCCTCTACCACAATCAATTATGAAAAATACCTTCTCTGATCCTTTCCAGCTCACCTGTGAAACATGTTCTGAAAGAAAAACAAGAGGGAAAACAAGACAAAGAACGAAAAAAAAACTTTTAAGTCAGTTAAAAAGCCACAGAAACTAAAAACCACCAAAGAAATACAAATTTAAAAAATCTCTCTTTTCTTGACCCCCCAGGGGGAGTGTAGTGGTCGACGTGATGTCGTGTATTGTCCGTCTCCAGAGATCTCTGTCTCTGGTCATTTCTTTTAATTCATGCATAGGTCTTTGGCATATTCCTGTAATTTGATATATCCATCTTGTTGGGGATCTTCCTCGTGATCTTCGGCCTTCTACCTTTCCTTGTATTATGAGTCTTTCCATGTTTTCTGTGTTTGCTCTCATAACATGCCCAAAATATTTTAATTGTTGGAGATGGACTTTACTAGAGAGTCGTTGGCTCACTTTTAGCTCTCTTAAAATTGAATTATTTGTTCTACTGTAAATTTAAAAAAATAAGGCAAAAATAAAACAAATGATTAACAGTTATTCTATTCTTCTTCTTCAGAGAGTTTAACTACCTTATCATCACAGTGATAACGATATACATAAAGAGAATGAAGAAGATGACACAATCTGTTTGTTATGCAATGAAGAAGGCAAAAACAACGAGTTTTTTTTCAATATGACACGTGCTCTAAATGGGCTCGTTCAGAATGCACGGATCTAAACTTAAAATAAGCGAGGGCCAGAGTATGTGTGTGCAACTGTTGTTACAATTATAATTAAGAAAAAACTGTTTTTGGTAACTGTTAAGTATTTAATTAAAAGACTTTTTCATTTATCTCTTTTGCATTTTTATGTTAAAATTTGTTCTTTTATATAAATTTATTTTATTTGATTAGCTATTTTTCTTTCGTCAACTTATCCGATAAAGTTTGAACTTATCAACGCTTGTGGATAAGATGGCGATGATTGCATCTTTAAAAAAAATATACAGGGTGGTCCTTAAGTAATTGTACAAAAAGAAACCGCAGATTCTATACTTTAAAATATTACGATTTAAGCCAACTTGCTTTAATAAAATGTTGATATTAAAAAAGATACAGGGTGTTAAAGTGGAAATTTAAAATTTTATTTTTCGCTATAACTTTCATGTTTGTAAACATTTATATACAAAAATTTACAGCTGGGTACTATTTAATATCTGAAATTATAATTTGATGAATACTTTGATATAGCTAATAGAGGGCGCCACATATGCCACATACGTGGCATAAATTTGCACTTAACTTTTTTGTTCTTTAAGTTACCGGTATTTAAAATAAAAAATATTAAAGATACATTATTTTAACAAAAAAAGGTATACTTGTTAATAACTTCAAAACTCAATAGTTTTCGAGATAATCGCATTTTACAAATCAACTGCATAATTCTGATTTAACGCAATTACTCCATGCAATGAAAGAAAAATAGATAAAAACATCAATACTTCTGAATTTTGTTATAAAATACCTTAATAAAGTCAATAATTAACGAAATATTAAATAAAATAAATATATCAGCAGGATAATTAATAATAGGATTTGATAAAATAACAGAATAATTGGATTTTACATCAAACATTTTATTTTAATTTGTATTAAATTAAAGTCATAATCAAAACATTTTATTTACAAACCAAATTAAGAAATAGTTAAACTAAATAACATTAAACTTTTTGTCAAAGTAAGTGTTCACTATGTCCACCATTTTCTTTAATTCATTTGTCAATACATTCCATAAAATATCGTCTCATATTAAATAGCGTCATTGGTTCTAAAGAAACTGCTGCAGTATTTATTATAAGTGTTATAAGTATAATAATAAGTAATTTTTTGAAATGTTTATGAATTAAATAATTATATTAATATCTCACCACAAGAATATGACTACCATGAACAATCCAACGTTCAGGAAAGTTTAAAGAAGTATTTAAATACTGTCTCACTCCGCTATCACTGTAATGTAATGTACATGTCTAAACCACATATTTCGCCTTAAGTTTGATGACAATTCTTCCAATAAATCAATAAAATCATTTTGTAAAGAATGTAAATAAATCTCACCATTCAAATTGAAAGGTAATTCGCATATCCGTAAAACATCATTCAAAATTGATATTTAAAATGCATGTCCTATGGTTTGGAACCATTGATAATTATTTTTTACGGATATGCGAATTATCTTGCAATTTGAATAAAGAGATTTATTTACATTTTTTATAAAATTATTTTATTGATATATTGAAAGAATTGTCATCAAATTTCATACGAAATATGTGGTTTCTACAAGATGGTAAACCATTACATTACAGAGAAAGCGGAGTGAGACAGTATTTAAATACAACTTTCCTGAACGTTGGATTGTTCATGGTAGTCATATTCTTGTGGTGAGATATTAATATAATTATTTAAGTCATAAACATTTCAAAAAATTATTTATTATTATACTTATAACACTTATAATAAATACTGCAGCAGTTTCTTCAGAACCAATGACGCTATTTAATATGAGACGATATTTTATGGAATGTATTGACAAATGAATTAAAGAAAATGATGGACATAGTGAACACTTACTTTGACAAAAAGTTTAATTTTATTTACTTTAACTATTTCTTAATTTGGTTTGTAAATAAAATGTTTTGATTATGACTTTAATTTAATACAAAACGTAAAATGTTTGATGTAAAATCCAATTATTCTGTTATTTATCAAATCCTATTATTTTATTCTGCTGATATATTTATTTTATTTAATAATTCATTAACTATTAACTTTATTAAAGGTATTTTATACCAAAATTCAGAAGTATTGATGTTTTTCTTTAATTTTCTTTCGTTGCCTGGAGTAATTGCGATAAATCAGAATTATGTAGTTGATTTCTAAATTGCGATTATCTCGAAAACTGTTGAGTTTGAAGGTATTAACAAGTATACTTTTTTTTTGTTAAAATAACGTATCTTTAATATTTTTTATTAAAAATATCGGTAACTTAAAGAGCAAAAAAGTTACGTGCAAATGTATGCCACATATGTGGCATATGTGGCGCCCTCTATCAGCTACATCAAAGTATACATCAAATTATAATTTCTGATATTTAATAGTACCCAGTTGTAAATTTTTATACATAAATGTTGACAAACATGAAAGTTATAGCGAAAAATAAAATTTTAAATTTCCACTTTAACACCCTGTATCTTTCTTAATATCAACATTTTATTAAAGCAACTTGACTTAAATCGTAATATTTTAAAGTGTAGAATCTACGGTTTCTTTTTGTACAATTACTTAACTACCACCCTGTATATTAAAAAAATGTGTAGCTATAGTTGTTATTTTGTAGGTTGACTACTATGACAAGTAGTGTTCAAATATCAATAAATAAATATTTTTAATTTGGAAAAAAAAGCGTAATGTGGATATTAGCCTTAAGTTCGCCAACTTACCCCTGTTATCCTACACAGCTCTAAATATTTAGGAACCATTATAAATGCTAAAGGGCAATATGCAGACAAAAAAAATTAAAAAAGGATCGGTGCACCAATAGTCCTGGTATGCTATTATTGTATATTACAAGTAGTATGTAGTTTATACTGAAAAAATTTAAGATTAATCTGAAACAAATGTAAAAAGGGGCTTTTAAAAAGATCTGTAATGAACGCTACGATCAAATTAGTGAAAACGAAAAATTAGATATCTTTTATATTCTCAATTATGATAGTTCATTTATTTTTGATACTTTATATTCCATATATGTGAATAATCTACTCCATTTTTTTAAATTTTTTGTCTTCAGATATCCCAACATTCCTGTTTTGGTAAATACTGTCATTTTGGATGTAATTTTTTTAAACTCGAATAACAATTTGTAGAACATTACAGTAGTTCAAAATGTAGGTTTATAAATAAACATAGATAATTAAAAACTTACGGCAATTCCAAGGATTGCAAATGAAGTAGAGATCTCCTGGATAATCGAAGACCATAGGTTCTTCAGCACTGTTTCGTACTCGTGTTTCAACTTTTACAGCCCAAAGACCTACTGGAATACTAGGAGGAGAGTAGATCTAATAAATAATAAAAAATAAAATTTGTACTAGAATGTAAAACAAATTAAAAATTAAATTAGATGATACACAAAAATTATCCAATATTTTGATTTTGTATGTTCTTATCTTTTATATGTATATCTTAATTTTTGTTGTAGAATCCTAATGAGCTTATATTTTTATGTTTAATTATAAATTTAATTATATCAGCGTTATAGACGGTTATAGTTCTAGACAACTGAGTTTTATAAGACATCCAACTCGCACTTAGGGCTCCAAGTGGCATATTCCGAACGACTACATTGGTATCTAGGTTAAACTAAGTAAGCGTAGCAGATATGACGAAAACTACTGAATGATTGCCGTCATAAGCAATTCTGCACTTATTGGTTATTGGTTGGAAAATAAATCTAAAACTTGATTATATTTAACAATTACCTATGGAAAATTCAGTATTTAATTAATATGAAAAATAAAATTATAATTTAAGTATATAGTCATTAATTTTTTACTGTAATTTTTTCCACAAATAAATTTGTATTTATGGCGAATGAACCGTAAAGTATGGCTAATAGAATATATAAATATCGTCGCATCCACCCAAAATTTAAAAAATAAAACACCCGAAATTGTTTCTCATATTTATTTAGATATTTATCTTATACTGTAGATATCTCAAACAATCTTCTTCTTCTGGTGCACTTCATTACTGGAGGTTTGCGATCACTGCATCAAAATGTTCCCTATTCTGCGCCACTCTGAGTAAGTGTTGAACGTTCATGCCTTTCCAAATTCCGATATTGCGAAGTCGTGACATGGCTCTTCTGCCCACTCTGTTTTGACCCTTAATATTCCCTTTAATTATTATTATTTGTAGCAAGTTATATTTGTTATTTCTCATAGTGTAACCTAGGTACGAGGATTTCTGCTCTTCAATATTTACAAAGAAATAACATCAAACATTTTGCAAAAGCTATGTTCTAGACCTGATACCGTCGTGTAGTACTACGTACCTAACTTAACCAACCTATGCGTAGCGTATTCTTCTTCTTCTTTAAGTTCCATCTTCTATCGAAGGTTGGAAATCATCATGGCTATGCGGACTCTGTTGACTGCCGCTCTAAAAAGTTCTGCACTACTGCATTCAAACCATTCCCTTAAGTTCTTAAGCCAGGATATTCTTCGTCTTCCCACATTTCGCTTTCCTCGGATTTTGCCCTGTATAATAAGTTGTAATAATGCGTATTTTTGCCCTCTCATCACATGTCCCAAGTACTCAAGTTTTCGTCTTTTAATAGTTAATATTATTTCCGCCTCATTTCCTATCCTTCTAGTTACTTCCATGTTTGACATTCTTTGAATCCATGATATTCGTAGGATTCTTCTGTAACACCAAAATTCAAAGGCGGCCAACTAATTCAGATGAACTTGTTTTAGTGTCCAAGCTTCCAAATCATAAAGAAGAGTAGAGAACACGTAACATCGAAGCATTCTCAGGCATAGTTCTAACCTTATATCTCGACAACAAAGAAACTTTTTAAATTTAATAAATGATGTACGTGCTATTTCTATACGTGTCTTAATTTCTTTGGTTTGGTCTACATCTGATGTTATCCATGTTCCTAAGTATTTATAGTTATTAACACTCTCAATTGCAGTACCTTCAATAGTCAATTGGATATTTGCATGTGCAGATTTAGTCATGATCATGCATTTAGTTTTCTTTAAATTTATCTTCAATCCGTACTCATGACAGCGTTCATTAAGGCGTTGCATTACGTTCTGAAAATCATTGTTGTTATTCGTAATTATTACTGTATCGTCTGCAAAACGTAAGTTATTCAAAACTTCTCCATTGATAGATATACCTTCTATTGAGTCTGAGAGCGCTTCTTGAAATACCGCTTCACTGTAGACATTGAAAAGTAGTGGGGACAGCACGCAACCCTGGCGGACTCCTCTCTGCATTTTAATATTTTCGGTGTACTGGCTGTCAACTCTTACCTTGGCAGTTTGATTCCAATATAAATTAGATATAATTTTCAGATCACGACTGTCAATATTTTTGCTTTTTAATATATCTACAAGATTTTTATGTTGAACTTTATCAAATGCCTTTTCAAAGTCTACAAAACATAAGTACATATCCTGATTCATGTCCATGCATCTCTGAGCCAGCACACTCAAGCCGAACAAAGCATCTCTTGTACTCATACCATTTCTAAAGCCAAATTGTGTGTCACTAATCTCATATTCAAGAGTTTTAACAATTCTGCTGTGAATTATTTTCAAAAATGTTTTAAGTGTGTGACTCATTAAAGCTATTGTTCTGTGGTCTGAGCAAGTTGTTGAACTTGGTTTTTTGGGAATTGCTACAAAGGTTGATTGCAGCCATTGTCTGGGGATTGTGGCAGTCTGATATATTAGATTAAAGAGTTCAACCATTACATCAATAACATCTTCATCGATGAGTTTTAATAATTCGATGGGCACCTCATTGGTCAGTAGCTTTACCCTCTTTTGTGTTTTTGATGGCATAGATGACTTCTTCTCTTAATATTGGTGGTCCGGTATCCTCGGTGATTTCGTGGTACGCTTTCTAGAACCTGTCATTTCTTTGATTTTTTTGTGTAAATTAAAGCTATCGTACTTTTTATGCAGATCTTCTATTTCCTTGTATCTGTCGGAGAGCCACCTCTCATTTGCCTCTCGAATTTTCTTTCTGATGTTTCTCTGAATTTCTTTGTATTTATTCAGGTCTTTTGCCTTATGTTTTCTTCGTTTTTCCATAAGTTCAAGAATTTCTACTGCCATCCAAGGTTTTGTTTTTTCTTTAAGTGGTTTGAGGGTTTCTTTCCAACTGACACAAGGGCATGTTGATTTTTTTTACGCACCTAATACGCGTAGCGTCTTACTTATTGGCTACCTACGCTGAGTCACATGCTTTCTTCTATACAGAAATCTAGAACTTGTGCTTTAACGCCGATTTAAAATTAACGTTGAGTCTAAGCTCCGCTCTCTTATTGAAATTGTATTGGCTAAAGAACTTCGCTCTAAAAACTGCAAAAATACTAGTCGAAAAGAATTTCAACATTACTTAATGTTGCGCAGAAGACTGGAAAAAGAATGAATAATCTATAAACTGGAATATGCCTTGTGTTATAAGCAGGTTATATAAGTTTTATTGGTTTCCTCCAATAAAAGCTAATCTGGGTAACACTTAAAAAAGTAAGAACGAAAATAAATACTCTTTTTACTTTTCAGGTTTGGAAACATACCCTCTTGAAACTGTGACTGTAATGCAGCAATAGAAACTATTAAACACATGTTAGAGGACTTCCTTATTAGATCCTACAGTCGCATAGCATCCGAATTTTTAGTTACAACAAAAAAGTTAATTGAATGTAAGGTCATTCAAAGACAATTTCAAGAAGAGAGCGGAGCTTAGACTCGGCGTTAATTTTAAATCGGCGTTAAAGCACAAGTTTAGATTTATGTATAGAAGAAAGCCTGTGGCTTAGTGCAGGTTGTCAATAAGTAAGCGCACCTAATACGCTACGCATAGGTTGGTTAAGTTAGGTACGTAGTACTACACGACGGTATCAGGTCTAGAACATAGCTTATGCAAAATGTTTGATGTTATTTCTTTGTAAATATTGAAGAGCAGAAAACCTCGTACCTAAACCACACTATGTGAAATGACAAATATAACTTGATACGAATCATATATATTGAATAATATATTGAAGTGAAGATTAAGGGTCGAAGCAAAGTAGGCAGAAATGCCATGTTCTGGCTTCGCAATATCAGAACTTGGAGAGGGCAGTGATCGCAAACCTTCAATAATGCAGTGCACCAGACGAAGAAGATTGTTTGAGATATCTACAGTATAACATGAATATCTAAATAAATATGAGAAAAAATTTCGGGTTTTATTTTTTAAATTTGGGTGGATGCGTTGATATTTATATATTCTATTAGTCATAATTTACTGTTCATTCCCCATAAATACAAATTTATTTATGGAAAAAATTACAGTAAAAAATAATGATTATATACTTAAATTAGAATTTTATCTTTTATATTATGGTAAAAGGTAGACCGGTCCATCTGGCGTTTGTTGATCTAAAGAAAGCATACGACTCAATACCTAGAGTCAAATTATGGGAAGCAATGAATGATCTCGAATTCCGACAAACACTATTAAAAGCAGTTAAAGCACTGTACAAAGAAAACAAAGTAGCTATTAAATGTGGAAATAAAGCCTACAATCCATTTAAGAGGACAAAAGGACTTCTACAAGGCTGTGCTACGTCCCCTACTCTGTTTAAAATATTCTTGGAAAAGACACTCAAACCATGGAGGAGAAAGTGCGAAGGAATGGGCATACCAGTAAGAGACGAATACCTATACACCTTAAGTTTTGCCGACGATCAAGTAGTCATCGCACAAGATGAGGAAGATCTCAGCTTTATGCTCAGAAAACTAGAAGAAGAATATAAAAACAACGGAATGGAAATAAACATAGAGAAAACCGAATATCTAACAACAGAAAACAAGGATATGAGAAACCTAGAGATAGACGAGGGAAGACAAGTAAATGGAACAGATAAATTCAAGTATTTAGGAACCATAATATCAACCAGGGAACAACAGAAGAAGATATAAACAACAGACGAAGACAAACAAGAAACTGTATAAGACAACTAAATTCAGTGCTGTGGGATAAGAACATTACGATAAAGACAAAGAAGAGAATATATAATACCCTGACAAGAAGTATCCTGACATATGGGTCCGAAAACTGGACAATAAACAAGAGAAATAGAGGTAGAATAAGAGCAGTAGAAATGGAGTTCCTGAGGAGAAGCTGTAGACTTACAAAAAGAGACAGAATTGAAAACGCAGAGATTAAGCGGAGAATGGGAGTGCAATCAGACATAATCGACTATATAGAGGAGAAGAGACTATCCTGGTACGGCCACGTCAGAAGAGCGGACAGAGGACGCTGGATAAACAAAATCACAGAATGGAGCCCGATCGGAAGAAGAAAGAGGGGAAGACCCCGAAGGTCATTCAGAGACGAAATCGACGAGGCTATGGAGAAAAGAACCCTACGAGATGGAGACTGTAATGACAGGGAAAATTGGAGAAAATGGTTGAATGAAGGAAGGCCGTGAAAACTGTGGAAATCCTTAGTAGTAGTAGTTGTATCTTTTATATTATTTAAATACTGAATTTTCTATAGGTAATTGTTAAATATAATCACGTTTTAGATTTATTTTCTTTTTTATTTGCCACATCAGAATTATTCGGCGTTAGCGATTACTATGGCATCATTCCATATGAAAATTTACCCTGTGTTTCGTATTTTGGTCTGTTTGATTTATCTAGATAAATATTATATCTCGACTGATATAAAGTTTATACGACTATATTTACTAGTATATCTACTACATTTCTATGAATTTTTTTCCGCGCTGATGTCGAAGTAATATGCGGTCCTTTCATATTGACCGCCTTTTTTGACTCCGATTTCGATAATTAGTAACGGTTTTAAGTTATGGTGTTGATACCATGATGATTTTCCTGGAGAATCATGATGTAATTTAATACAATTGTTTTAAATTTTCATTTGTATCTTCATGCCATTGAAAAGATTTCTCAAATCGACGACAACAATTAATAAAAACTTTATAACTCACAAACGACGATCGATATGCTTATTTTGATAACGGATTAGTTATCAGCGTGCAAAAATACGTCTAAAACATGTCTTGGTTGACTTCCAGTTCCATTTCCACTCAAAAATTTTGTTGATTTCCGGTTTATTTTTGATCTTTTTATATTTAGATTCAATTATGGATCAAACGATTTATTTGATTTCGATTCACAACTTTTTTTGCAAAATTACAATTCGCTCACAAAAATGATTTTTGCGCCGATAAAGATTTTTATCCCTGTTTGCCTTCTTTCTTTGTTTTACTATTATCTACTTATATTTTACTGTTTATTCTGTTTAGCCACTATCATTGAGCTTGTCTTGTTTTTACCAGGACGGGTCGCATTTATATAAAATTCTTTGATTAAATTAAAGTATGGATATTTTGTGTACACGTGTTTTAGTATACGCGAGTGTTTTGGGTTATCGTGGAAATCAATACTTACCTCCATTGTTAGACTTTGGCCTCTCGCTTCCAACACGTTTCCAAACCACATAGGTTTTTCTGGATCAATATTTGATCTTTTAGCAGGATCAACCACAAATATACCAGCAGTACCCTTAATCGGATGAGGACGTGGACCTAAACATATAGACAATTAAATATGTATTTCGCATTTTTAGTTTACATCAGCCAAAGTTATGCAGGAAGGAAAATTTATATTGGATAATAGTATATTTAGTCCAATTGGGATAGCATTTAACCTTGCAATGCAAGCTGCCCCAAATTATATTATTTAAGGGGGGTTAATAGTAGTGTAAATATAAAATCACGACGGAATTCCGCCATTGCGTTAGCCGCCATCTTATTAAAGGATATTTTAAATTGTGATTTTAAAGGAGAACCGTTTTTGTACAATATCTCCGCCATTTTCAACTTTTAGACAAAATAGTTAAGGAATAAAATGGTTGCCAAGACGACTTCCTATAATTTCCTTTTACCAAATTTTTTCGTGTGGTCGTTATTTTCCGAGTTACGGAAGAAAATAGTGGAAGGGGGAGAAGTATAATTATTGAATTACTTATCTCGTTTATTATTAACTTAGGGACATAAATGTACATAAGCTAAAATGAAGAGAATTATATTTATACAATTTTGATTTGTTTGATGTTTTTGCTTAAATCAATATTAAAGGTCGTAAATTAATTTTCGTTTATGGCTTGCTGCTGATGACGTCACCGTCTAGGGCGTGTTATGCATAGAACCTCACATATTGATCTCAGTAAAAAAATGAAAGAGTTAAAAATTATATAAAACATAATTCCGTTCATTTTTGTTCATGTACATATATGTCGTTGAGTTAATAATAAATGACATAATTCAATAATTATATTTAGTCACTATTTTCTTCCTTAATTCAGAAAATATTAACTACACGAAAAAATTTTCAAAGAAGAAATTATAGGAAATCGTAATTGTAACAAGTTAAGTCCTTATGATTTTGTCCAAAAGTTGAAAATGGTCATTATATTGAATAAAAATAATTCCTATAAAACCAATCCCTGCAAGGTCTTACGCTCGCGCCTTTACCGCATACGTACGACCTCAAATATTGATTTCAGCATAATAAATGAAAGAGATCAAAATTGTATTAAATATAATCAGCTTCACTTTTGCTTAGGTATATTCAGGTTATAAAGTTTATAATGCTCGTTTATTTAATAATTCGATAATTATACTTCCGCACCCTTCTACTATTCCATTAACTCAAAAAATATCGACCGCAAAAAAAATGTAAAAGAAAACTGTTGGAAATCGCATTTGCAACAATTTTAGTGCTTGTGTTTTTGGTCAGAAAGTTAAAAATAGCGGATATATTGAGTAAAAGCAGTTCTTCTTTAAATTGAAGAGGGCGACTAACGCAACGGCTGAATTCAGTCGCAGTTTTATATTTATACTACTATTGACCCCCGTAAAGGTTAGAATAATAAAATTTGAGGTAGCTCGCCATGCAAGGTTGGGCATTTCTTTGGTCTAAAGTGACAGGAATAATTCCATATAAATTGAAAGGATTTTGACGCCTATTCGGTTATCTTCAAGCGGTATAAATCAAAGTTTCCTTAACAAAATACCAAACTGTTATTTTTAAAAATACCTACACTTATGTTTCTAGGCATTAAGTGGATTTATGTATAAATCTCTTACTTATACAAAATATTACATATTATACAAAAGGCACGCAGAAAGAGTTAAGCGTTGTATTAAAGTTACAGAATTTTTTAATATTATTTCAAAATATTTTTAAACTTTTTTAAGAAAATTTATATTTTGTTAGCACGCCATGGCCAATAAAACCGAAGTAGTGAAAATACTTCTTTCTCGATTTTTCTAGATGTTTGTATAGAGTCTTCAAACCTTTCAGACGCCCACCTTTTTTGTAGTATAATATTGGATTAAAGATTAAAAATGAATATAATTAAATACATATTTTACAACTTTTTTGTCTTTTAGTATTTGTTTTTAAAATCATTAATTTAGAATTTACATGCAATATTATATTTTTAAAAATATTAAGTTGTATTATTTTCAATTAGGAACAGCAAAAAAATAATAATTTAATTTAAAATGTCTTCAAAATGACTTCCCTTTATATAGTAAAGGGCAAATCATTATACATTCTACATGGTTTCAACAATGAATACCGAATATTTTGAAAAATGCATTCGAATTTTCTAAAATTCAGTTTCTTAATTATACTGCACTTGTTATTTTTATGAAATAAACATAGTCTTTCACAAATCCTCAAAAACAAAAATCCATTGGATTAAGATCTCGATCACATTCATCAGCTGCCCATTCAATTGGTGCATCGATCCCTCTCGTATCCAACGTGCTGCATATTTTTGAAATAGAAAAATGCACTAACCTTGTCACTATAATGTGATCCTACACACTTTTAATGAGCACATTGCAAAACGAGGTCCAGGAAGAAGAAAAACATTTTGGTTACAGAACCTGAGAATCTGGTTCAATACAACATCTGTGCAGCTTTTTCGCGCTGCTGCAGATAAGAAAAAGATTGCCATGATGATGCCATCATTCGTAACGGTTGGGTACATCAAGAAGAAGATATTCCTCCCTGATTTATCTATAGGTTTTATATCTTTTTATGACCCTGGATGCATCATTCGATAATTAGTAAGGTATTTGAGACTGCTTCTCATAATAAATTTCCATATTTTCAACGTAAAAGACTCTTGCATCAGTTAGAGCGTGACTTTTATTCCATTCTTCGCTGGTTTGCTACTGATATACTGACGGAAGCAACAACGTCCTCTAAAAGCTACCAGCATTTCGTTGATCTTTCATGTCTCTGTTGTTGTCGTCAAATCTGATTGCTTGCTGAAGCAAATGAAAACGTTTTTTCGACATTCTTGCATGTGTATTGAGAACACACTAACAATTTGCCTACTCGAATTATAAACTTCATATTTGTGAAAATTAAGGGGTTACATAGGTCTTATATTTTTAAATAATCTATTTTTTTTTATTCCATATAATAATATAGTGCTTCAAGAGTACCTACTTTTTCTTCAAGTTCCACTCCTATCGGAGATTGGAAATCATTCTGGCAATTATAATTTTATTGGTTACTCGCCTGAATAGTTCAATTGAACTGCATCCAAACCACTCACGGAGATTGCGTAGCCACGAGATTTTACGTCTTCCTACGCTTCTTCTACCTTTGATTTTACCCTGCATTATATTCCTTAGTAGTTCGTACTTTTCACGTCTCATGATGTGCCCCAAGTATTCCAATTTCGTGGAATTGGAATTCCACGGTTTTTATGGAATTTAAAACTTCGCATTGTTTTCCTAGTTGTTCGAGAACTTGTTCTTTTGTTTTGCGATCTATCCATGATATTTTCAAAATACGTCGGGAACACCACATTTTGAATGCTTCTAGGTTTTTAATGTTGGATTTTTTAAGTGTCCAAGCTTCAACTCCATACAAAAGGGTAGAGAAAATATAACATCAAAGCATTCTTATCCGGAGCGATATATTGATATCGCGATTCCAAAAAAGTTTTCTCATTCTATTAAAAGTTGACCGCGCAATTTCAATGCGGCATCTTATTTCTTTTGTCTAATCAGTATCTTCTGTGTTTCATGCTCCAAGGTATTTGTACGAAGATATTTGTTCAATTTCTGTATTATCTAGTACTAGCTTAACTTTGATATTTTGTGCTTTTGTAAATACCATGAACTTCAAATTGATTTTTAGTCCATAATCGTTGCAATATATATTTAGTTGTTCAGCAAGGTGTTGCAGTTCTTCTAGTGTTCCTGCCAGAAGGACGGTGTCGTCAGCATATCTTATGTTATTAAGCGGCTCACCGTTTATTATAAGGCCCTCACTGCTCTCGGCAAGCGCTAATTCTGAGATGGCTTTACTGTATAAATTGAATAACAAGGGTGATAAAATACACCCTTGGCGGACCCCACGGCGAATCTGAATATCCTTGGTCAGTTCGTTTTCAACTTTCACGTTTGCTGTTTGATTCCAATAGAGGTTACAGATGATTCTAATGTCTCTACTGTCTATGTTTTTATTTAATAAAAATTCTTTAAGTCGATTATGCTGCACTCTGTCAAATGCCTTCTCAAAATCAATGAAACAGGCATATACTTCCTGATTAATATCTAAACATCTCTGCAAAAGAACACTTACTGCAAACAGTGCATCTCGTGTTCCCAGTCCTTTCCTAAATCCCATTTGTGTATTACTTATGCCTTCATCTAATTTCTTATGTGTTCTATTGTGAATTACTTTTAAAAACAATTTCAAGACATGACTCATTAAGACTATGGTGCGATGTTCATTGCACTCCTTTGCATTGGCTTTTTTGGGAAGCAGTATGAATGTTGATTGGAGCCATTCTTTAGGTATTATACCTGTTCTCAGTATTCACAATTTTAAGTAATTCGATAGGAACTTCATCAGGCCCAGGAGATTTGCCACCTTTAGCTTGTTTCATTGCATATTCAATTTCTTCTCGTATAATGTCAGGCCCAGTATCATCCTTAAATTCTTTTGGTGCTTCTGTTCTCGCTTTGTCTTCAAAAAGTTGTGCTATATATTGTGTCCATCTCTGCATTTTTTGGTTTATATCTGTTATAAGTGCACCCCTTTCATCTCTTAGTTGCCTAGTTTGAAGTGTTTTTCTCATTCCTGTTAATTCTCTAATTCTTTTATGCATGTTAAAAAAGTCATATTTTTTCTCAATTTCTTCTAGTTCTTGGCACTGCTCATGTAACATTCTCTCCCTAGCTTCTTTTATTCTCTGTTTTATTAATCGATCAGTTTCATTATATTTAATTGGATTTTTTGTTTTGAATGATTTTCTTATATAGGTAGGTACTCTGAAGAGTACCTATATACACCAAATTTGAAGTAACTTTGAGGAATATATACCTGAGTTATAGAGATTTGTATATGCGCCATCAGTTTAAAAACTAAACGCGTTTTAATGAAAGTTAAAGTTTTAATGAATGTTCGTCTCATATTATTTAGCATTTTTCGATTCTCATCGTTTTCAAAAAAAATTTTTCGTGTAAAAAAAGAATGAGTCGACCAATTAAAAACCTCTTTGTTTAATCACAAAACTATGCTATAAAGATGAATTGTGCATAGCAAAGTTTCAGCAATATCGGTGGATTCGTTCCTTCTCGAGAAATCATGCTGTATTCAAATCTCTATAAGTTCGGTAATATTGTTCGAATGTACTTTAAATTTTATTTGAATACAGTTCAAGTACTATACTTTCATATGGAATAAAAACTAAATCGATTTTTTGAAAATAAAAAATCTATGTAACCCATTAATATGTTATTTTAAATTCGAATTTAAAAAAGTGGTTGTATATTCTAAATTAATGATTTACAAACAAATACTAACAGATAAAAATGTAGTAAACCAGATATTTAATTCTATAGACATCCAAAAATTTCCATAAAAAAGTTTTAAACCGTTTTGGAGCAATAATAAAAAATTCGGTTTTATTTTGTAAATTAAACACCGCGTAGGTGCCACGTAAGTCAGGCCAAATCGACTAATTTTCATTTTTAAAAATCATGTTATAATGTATGGCCAATATTTGTATGAGACTCTGTATTATTAACTGAATATTAACAATACCTGACCAATATTTATATCAAAATAAAAAGTATAATTACCAAAGTTAAACGAGATTCTAATCATATCGGACTTAGGATCATAATCTCTGTTAAACTTTAACGCTACAGTAAACTTTTGTCCTCTACGAAGTACAGGAACGTCTTCCTCGTCAACCAATTCATACTGATCAGTTTTGTGAAGTTTTGAGTTCTCCTTGGGGTACATGTAAAACATTTCCGTTTCCAAAGACATCTTGGATGGGTTGTTGTTTAAATATTAGATCTACAGGAAAATCAAACAAAAATTATTAGTAAAAAAATAATAGTAAACATTATCATCTATGTTGTGATATTTAACAATTTATACCCATTTCTCTAGCAAAGTTTTTCAACTCTTAAATAAAATTATTCTGTACTAACACGTTGATCGCCATAATGATAATATTTTTTGCCTTCTTTCAGGCCAATTGGTTTTTTTTTTTTTCAGTAAACAAAATTAGAATCGCCATAATGATATCCAATCTCCGAGGTTTTTGCAGTATATTTTTAATAATATACTACATAACTTTGCAGTAGAAATACATTTCTTAAATACCTATAGAGAAATTTGTCTATACGTGATTGTGAAATGCAAGTGGGCATCGCGCGACCTAATAAATAAAAAGTTGAGGCGATGATGTAATGCACACGTGCCCCGCACGTGTTATGATTTGCAAGAATTAACTAAACCATTACGAATCTGTTTTGAGGTGTATGTGAAAGGTAATATTCGTATTTTTGCAGAAATAATTAAGTGATATCTAGCCCACCACATTTCATTAAAATCGATTTAATAGATTTCGTATAACAATTTTGCAATCTAAATTATAAAAAATTTAAATTTTTAAAAATATTTCAGACCAAAAACTAGACCATATAGAAGTTTGCCAATTTTTTTAATTCACTTTTTATTCTTACTACCAGACTCCACTACAACAAACGTTTCAAAGGTGAAGAGTGCAGTTTATTATGCGATTTTTGCATTATGCTTCAGTTGAAGTCAGTTTCTATAAAAGTTTTAAATCTCAAATCAAAGGTAACCTGGTAAACACTAAAATAGATAATTAGGATTCATTCATCATCATCAATGGTGCTACAGCCCTATGAAAGAGCCTCGAACTTCCCAAGTCTATTACGCCAGACAGTCCTATCCATTGCCAACCGTTGCCAGGTTGCTGCGCCTATCTTTCTACCATCCTCATCTACATCATCCTTCTATCTGAGTTTTGGCCTACCCCTTTTTCTACTTCCCACGGGTTGTGATATAAAGATTCTTCTACGAGGGTTGTTCTGCTGTGATCTTGCTAGATGTCCTGCCCATCTTAGTCTTCCTATTCTTATAAGAGATACTACGTCTTTACCACCAAATATTTGTTTATATCTGTGGTATACCTCGTAGTTGTATCTCCTTCTCCAAACACCATTTTCACAGATACCGCCAAATATTCCTCTCAGGATCCTTCGTTCAAATATAAGCAGAAGGTCTTCGTCTGCCTTGGAGATGGTCCATGTCTCCGATCGATATGTCAACACTGGCTGTATAACGGTTTTGTATATATTTATTTTTGTTTTTTGGCTTAAGTTTCTACTTCTTATATGTCTACTCAGTCCAAAATAGTATCTGTTTGCCATTATTATCCTTCGCTTGATTTCTTCCGTTATGGCGTTGTCTTTGGTGATCAGGGAGCCTAAGTATGTAAATTTGTCCACCAGTTCAAAGGTAGAGTTATCAACCGTGAATTGGGGACCGATGTTCCTGACTCTATTGTTGGGTGTTGATGCCATCATCTTAGTTTTCTCCTCATTTACTTGCAGGTCCATAGATTTTGAGGCATTTGAGAAGGTGGTATACATTTCTTCTAGCTTGCGTGTTGTGCGGGCAACTAGGTCCACATCATCTGCATATGCCAAAATTTGGGATGATTTATTAAAAATATTTCCTCTGTTGTCTATTCGGGCATCTCTGATCGCCTTTTCCAGTGGTATGTTGATAAGGAGACACGCCAGCGCGTCTCCCTGTCGCAGCCCAACATGCGTTCCAAACGCCTGTGGTTGTTCGCCCTGTATTTCGACTTTGCAAACCACATTACGCATTGTAGCCTTAACCAATCTTATCAGTTTATCGGGGATGTGGAATTCATCCATGGCTTCATACAATTTATTTCTTATCACTATGACACTATCATAGGCAGATTTGAAATCTACAAAAAGATGGTATGTATCGATATTGAATTCATTGGTTTTTTCCAGTATTTGCCTTAGCACAAAGATCTGATCTGTTGTTGATCGACCAGGCCTAAAGCCACTTTGATATTCCCCGAGAAGTTCCTCTGAATATGCACTTAGGCGACCATATAAGATCCTCGAAAATATTTTGTATGCTGTATTAAGGAGGGTTATTCCCCTATAGTTTCTACATTCCAATTGGTCACCCTTTTTGTGTAGCGGGCAAACGATTCCAATACACCACTCTTCCGGGATTTGTTCCTCATTCCAGGTTTTCAGTATTATTTTATATATTTGATTAGTCACAGTAGCACCTCCACATTTAATAAGTTCCGCGGGTATACCATCACTTCCTGGAGATTTCTTGTTTTTTAGGTGTTTTATTGCATCTCGTACTTCTTGAATTGATGGAGGCTCTAATGGTGAATTGTTGCTTTATTAGCTCTAATGGTAAATTAGGATTCATTAACTTTTACAAAAAATCATATAAAAAAGTGATATTTTTACAAAAAGAAAAAAAATTATCTTCAACACAGTGGCGTGTTGATATCAATTTGCAGGTTTATTGAATTATTGTATTGGAGGTAACTAAGAATATTTAATTGGTTAATTTGGAGAAATTTTATGTTTTTCTTGTTATTACTGGTATTCAAAATAAATAAATTAGTTAAATCCAAAATTATCTTCAAAGTTATTACTTAAACTAAAAAAAAATATAGTGTCCTGTAGAGAAAAAAATTACCTTACGAATCATGTGCCACTCGACCACACTTGCTACTTAAAAAAAAACTAAGGGTTGATGAGAAGCAGAAGGGTTAAATTTAAAGGCATGAATTTTGCATGAAACTTTTTCCTCCTTACAATACAAATTGACGTTTTTTTTTTCTAATGTTCTACTAACTAGTTCTGCAATGATCTGAATGACACCTCTCACATCCAAATTTAGTCGTTTTTTCACAGATTCGCCCTGGCCTAAACGTGCATATTGCAGCGGTACAGTTGAGTCTAAAGGTGCGATCTGACAGAACGTGGAGTGGCATTCTACATCGGTAAAGAAAAATAAAAAAATACATAATAGAAAAAGACAATATAAAAAAACAGACAGTCCTTCCAGTAGGGATTCTATAGATTTAATCAGAGAAATATAAGCGGGTGTGGTGTAATACTGTACTTTGGTTGTATTGTTAGTGTGTTGGTCAAATTGTGCTGAAAATGATGCTGATATAAAAGGTATTCAGGCTTCAGATGTACCAAAACCTCTTCGGGTTCTAAGCATTAAAAAAACTTCTCCAACATAAAAAATACTCAAACGATGGCATCTTCTAAGATAAAATGTTCCGAAAGCAAGTAGAGCAACCGTTAGGATTTCCTGGTGAAAACTGTTACAGAGGTACACCAATATACGTCAGACAAATGGGAAGAGCGTGTTAGAATCTTGAAAGCCTTATAAATAAGAGTATGGAGTTGATATAAGCGCTTAAAATAAGTAAAATAAAAATTGCTTGCAGTCAAGAGAAAGGATAAAAGAAGCAAAGGACAAAGAACTATATGAACGATACAAATTGTGGTTTCTAGAGGAAAGTAATTTTAGGAAGGGAGTTGGTATAATTGCTGGTAGAAAAATGAAAGATAACGTAGTGGAAGTTATAAGAACAAATGATAGAATAACACCAGTAAAATTTTCACTCGATTAAAAAGTATTGAATGTTGTTTGTATTTATATTCTTTAAGTCAGTCTGGCTTAATCCTTTGCTGTGCTTAGAGGCATCCTAATGCCTCTTTAAAAAGGAAGACAAATCGGACAGTAAAAATTACAGGGGAATTTATTTATTAAAATGCAACACTAAAATTAACAGCAGAAAAAATCATTAGAATGCAATAAACCGACATACCTATGTTTCGTAAACCTTAAGAAGGCAATTGATCGGGTCAAATTAAATGACGTTATTCACTTATTGTATACAAGAGATATACCTCTGGGAATAATCAAAACGATCGAAAATATCTACCAAAATAACACAATAAAAGTAAAAGTAGAAGAAGAACTAACTGACCCTATTGAAGCTGGAAATGAAATAAGACAGGGAGATTTCCTGAGTCCTCTATTGTTTAACCTGATTATGGATAAAATAATTTAAAAAGTAAGAACAAAAAAAGGATACCAAATGGGATAAAAACAGCTTAAAATAATCTGCAATGCAGACAACGCAATACTACTCTCTCAGAGTGAAGATGATTTACAACATATGCTGCATCAATTTAATATAACCGCCAGAAAATTGTTAATTCCCCCAAAAAAGACAAAATGCGTGATTATCACAGCAAATTTACTAAGACGTAAATTGGAGGTGGAAGGCTAGATAATAGAACAAGTTATGGAGTTTAAATATCTAGTCATCACATTATATAGCTACGGAAAGCTCGAAACAGACGTGGAAGATCAAGTGAATAAGGTAAACAGAGCCGCAGGTTTCCTGAATGAAATAATATGGAAAAAATTAAAATATCGGGAAAGAAATTAAAGACAGAATTTACAAAACAGTCATCAGACAATAATGGCATTATGCGGCAGAAACTCGACCTGACACAGAGAGAACAAAAAGGATATGAGAAACAACAGAGATGAAAACACAACAAATAGAGTAGTAAGGACGGCAAGAAATGGTTCCCCAATAGGAAGAAGATTAGTAGGAAGACGACGTAAACGATGAAACGATAACTTACTGGAGGCACATTGAAAAACGGACAGAGTTATGTCTACATAAAAAAGAACAAGAAGAGAAGAAGTCAGTCTGGACGTAATACATGGAACTAAAAATAATGCTGAAAGTTTAGAAAAGGAGATTTAAAGAAAGAAGGTTAAAGGAAGAACATTAAAGGAAGTAATAATACAATTTGGAGAAATATAGTTAGATTATAGTTATATAGTATACAAATATAGTTAGTATTATTAATATTAATAAAATATGGACTTGGAAAGTCCTTAGGAAAGAAATTTGAGAATAAAGAGACCTAGTG